ATTTTTTAGAATATAAGATTTTTTCCTAAAACATAAACACGTAATAGTCAATCTCCATCAAATATTACAGATTTAATGGAGCCATGTGTTACACAGTACATTTAAAGCTTTCGTTTTGGATAAGACTTAGTGTGGCTTAAGTTATATTGAACCTTCTGTGAAGTTATCAGAGCTATTACTGTTACTGTTGGCTTAGGTTGTTGGGAGGCTTGCTGATCAGATAAAAATCGGCAGTTAATGCTGCAATTCACTTTGACTTTTCTGTTGCTACATGCTGTCTCAGATTGAGGGTTTGCTGCAAAATGAGTGCAATGAACTGGGCTTACTTAGATGTCATTGTCAACCCTTTTATGTTGCACATAAAAACGTCAAATGGGGGACCTAAGTGCTTTACAATTCAGTCAAATAAAACAAATAACAATATGAGAAAACGAATCCCCAAATATATTAAAGCATCTTCATTTATAATGAAATACAAAAATAAATAATAAAATACTAATTATTAAAGAATATCAAACTCTGCTCAGAAGTTTGTATCTAATTGGGTAAAAAATTCCAAAGATTTGGGTCAGAAATTGCAAAGGTCAAATCCGTTTTGAATTCTAGTTTGGAACATCTAAGAGAAATTGATTGGTTTCATCAACTTGATCCCACTAGAGTGTAGATCTAAATAACATCCATCACGCTTTCTCATCAGACAGGCAAGATGGTGCCAAAGTTTTTAAACTTTAAAAGCACGCCGTAAACGGGTGTTCATGTTTTATAGGACCTGTTAAAAGACGAGCTGCTAGATTCCAGACTGTATGTAAGTGGTGATTTATTTTCAGCAACATACAAAGTGTTACAATGATCCAAATGAGTGGTCATAAAACCATGAATCACTTTTTCAAGGTCCCGGTTGAGAGATATGAGTTCACCTTGACAAAGAGCCGGAAAAAACTTGCTTTCAAACCTGCTTTTATCGGTTTGCCTGATTTAAAAAAAAAAAAAAAACACTTTTAAACATTACGCCAAGAGAGAGACAGCAGAGTGCCTATATGAAGTGAAGGGGCAAGACTGTGAGCAGAAACGCATCACAAGGGGGTTATGAATCCCAGGATGTCACCCTCCTAAATCAACGCTTTTCTGTTAGTAAATTGTTTAAATAGATATGTTATAGTGCTGTCTAAATGTTCTGGGTATTAATTTGAAAATTTACTACATATTAGTTGAAATCCTGCTTTTGTGTCTAAAACGGTTTGGCACCTTCTTTAGATGGTTACTGCATCATATTTTTGCTATTGGCATAACTCGGGAGGTGACGTAACAGCTGCTGACAGGCTCCTCGGTAGTTCACTTTGGGACTAACATTAAATTAAATGATTTTCTTATTATAGGAAATTAATTTAAATCATGCTTTCATTCATTATAAAGGGTTATAAAAATAGTAAATACAATACATTGGGATAAAAACTCTGCATCATCTTTATATTGTGTAAATTATATATTTTTTGCTGTCAGTCACATGGCCTAAAAGCTATTTTGAAAAAAAAAAGCAAATACATTTAAAGAAATAAAAAATTAGAAATCAAAATCGAAAATGCACTAAATTGGATAAAAAAAAGAGTGCGGCTCATCCTTATGGTCTAGAACAGGGGTCACCAACCTTTTTTGGGTCACAGGAAGGGCTACCAATACTGACCTATGAACTGGAGGAGTTGGTGTTCATCTAAACTTCATGCATAATATTTTTTATTTTTATTTTAAATTCGAATTTTTAGATATTGTAATTTTGAAAACTATATGAATGCAAGTGTGATTAAAGAGGAAGAGCAACAGAATAAAATAAAATTTCATACACCAATCTGTGAGTTGTAGAGTTTTCAAGAGACACCGAAGGCACCCTGTGTGGTCCCGAGGGCCCCTTGGTGCTCACCACGTTGGTGACCCCGGGTCTAGGATAAAGGTTTGTCATTGAATTTGTGCCAATGGGCCCAAGACATTAAAAGTTATTACTTTTGGATGTGCAAACATTGACGGTCCAGAGAAGGATCACCATTTGTGGAAGAATCTCAAAGACAGTGGCACAAGTGGGTATTGCTCAGGGCTGGTGGCCTCCTCTACAGAACAGAACTCCCCCTTCTCTGTCTCTGATCAAATCAATGGAGAAAAAGTCAACCCCTCATTTAAAAAAACTATCATTAAAGTGCTTGCTAAGTTTGTGTTACTGTAAGTGCCAATTTGCTAAGGTGAGATGACACCTCTGGCTCTCAAGTATTCCACTGTCTGCCGGGTTCTTCCTCCATAGGTGCCATTCCAATTCTCCTGCTTAGTACCTTGTCAGGGTCGTGGTTGGACCTGCAGTTAATGGGGCATGGTACACCCTGGACAAGTTGCAAGTCTGTTGCAGGGCAACATAGAGACACACAAAGACAAACAACCATGCACACGCACAACTAAGAGGAAGAAAGCCAGAGTACCAGGAGAGAACACACGCAAGCACAGGAAGAACATGCAAACTCCGTGCAGTAAGACCCCGTGTTGGAAATGGAACCCAGAACCTTCTTGCTGCAAGGCAAGTCTCCTATTAACATTTTTCACCTATAGAGGGGCTGTACGGTAGAGCGGTGGGCCACAGTGCTACCACCGTGCAGCCCCTCCATGGGTGTGAAATGTTTATAGGGGTGGTCAGGCAGGGACTGTCAAGCTTGTATTAGACATCTTCGCTGCTAAATTTAGAAGTATTTTTCAAATTTGAGTTCTAGGGAGGTCTTAACTGTTGCAATTTCTTACCTACATTTAAAAAAAAAATGGTCCACTATATTTTTATCAATGACATTTCTACATAATATGAAAAGTCACATATACTCTTATTAACAATAAGTTGGTTTATTTAGTTCAAGCTAAACTGAAGACTCAAAACCCAGTTCTGAAAACAAAGATTTCTGTATTTATCATCTTTAATTTTAGGATATTAATCTAAATAATGAACAACTATATTTTTGTTATCAGTTTGTTAAAATGTAAACAATTGGAATGCTAAATAGTTAGAACAAACAACTTGAGAGCATCGTTGCTGCCACCATCTGTTTTAGTCAGGAATTGCTTGTGAATTTGTACTTAAAAAGGTGCAGTAGGTAACTTCAGAAAAAAACAATAATATTGTTATATATTTGTAAAAAAAAAAAAAAAAACAAAAAGAAAAAAAAACTATGGATACTTCCTGAAAGTAGAAAAATTATGTTAGAAGAAAAAAAAATCCATCACCACTCCTAGTAAGGAACAACCAATCAGAACCAGGATGGTTGTGTATTACTGTTGCCAACTTAACAATATTGTTGCTCTATTAAGCAACTTCTCAGACCCCTGTGGCAACGCTTTTCAAATTATTAGTGAAAAATCCAGCAACTTTTTCTCTATTTTACGAGACTTTAAATGACAAAATGTGAAATCACTAATTGCTCTGGTCTTATTGTTTTCAGCAGCAGTCACAGATCCAACACAGTATCAGGGAGACATGAAATCTATTTTATCTTAATTTTTGTTTCGACTATTACATTAAAATTACTAGTAATACAAACCTGCATTTAAATTATGCACAGTCTCATCTGTTTTGTGTGCCACTGCTAACTATCTTTAATGAAGTAGAATTTGTATCTTAACAAAATACTTCTGGTTTTGATAAAATAACGAAAGCTTGAAATGATTTTATACAATAAAATTTAATTTCAAACATTTTGAGATGTTTTTAAACACATTCTACATTGCCAATGTTGATATTCCTCTCTTCTAAGAGCTGGAAAAAAGAATGACTGATATGCAACTTAGGTAATGTCATCATCATCAAGCTATTTCTGGTGACTTTTAGGAATGGGCAATAGCAACTTTCCTTGCTGGCAACAGGGTTGTGTACGATCTGATCATCCCTCTAATCAAGCTCAATGTTGACAATATCCTGCAGTATCCTTTGCGTTAATGGCACGCTCTGCACTGATGGAAGAGATGTGTGCTTGTTCAAATTTTCAGGCTTAGCTTTAAGGTCCTGTTCTTAGAAAGATTTACTTGTCTTATCACGAGTAAATAAAGCATAAAATCTGCAACATCTATTAAATAATGGTGTCTAAAATCAAGATAAAAACATAAAATATTTGGGAAAAGGTTCTCAAAACAAATTAAATTATCTGCAGCGAGATCTTTTCACTTGAAAAGATTTCTTAAATTGTGCTTATTTGGTCAAGTTAAACACTTAATACACAGTTGAGTCTTATCTATCACTTCCGAATAAAAACTTTTTATCTTGGTAAAATAATAATTTGTGTTGCAGAAAAAACAAAAATACATTTATATTTTCCCTTTACACACATTTCAAACGTTTGTATTGAAATCTGGTAAATGTGGAATAACTCATGATTTATTTTGTTCATTTTCAGGTTAAATTAGAAACTAGGACCAAACATGCTAAGAAACTGAAGATCATACTAATACTGGTTGAATCAAAATAAATGTATTATATATAATATTGTATAAATATATTATATAATACATATATATATATTTTTAAATCACTTCACTTTTTTTATTTTATTTATATATCATCACGCTCTCCGACTATGTAGCGGTAAGAGAAATATGTTTATAGATTTAAATTGAATTAAAAGATTTTGAATAGATGTACTATTACATTGGAAACATATCCATCATAATAGCCAGGCAAAAACTTTTTGATAATATGCTTTAAACATCTCGGTTCTCTACTTCACCCTCAAACGTGGCATTGGCTCCACCTTGTGTTCTCTATGGTACTTTTTACACTGACCTTTTTCCTGATGGGTGAAAACCATTTAAAACCCACACAATATGCTATTAAAACACTTTTAATTTTTGAAAGTTTAACTTATATTCACAAGTTTTGTCATATAACATACATTCCTAATACAAACTCAATTTATATATAATATTAATTTTTAAAAGACAAAAAATATATAGGCAATTTCCAAAAACCATTTCAGCAAATTACTTGAAAAGCAAAAAAAAAAAAAAAAAACTCATGCATTATACGACATTTTAGCTTTAACAGGATCCACCATGATGAATCCCTATACAGCAAATGAACTAGATACAAATATTAAAGGGTACAAGTCTGAGCAGAAATTATTGCAAGTTATCATCTCAGTGAATATACTTTTTACATTTCAATGTTATCATTGGGTCATGAACTTGTTTATCTGTATGCTAAGGTGATTCCTGTGTGTTAAAAATTAATACTTGGAAAAATACTGTTGTTTCCCTGAGCTGGAAATGATTTATAAAAAAAAAAAAGGCAGACACTCTGACAGCGCATCATCTGGCTAGTAAAGCTCTTCACAGCTTGATGCGTCCTGACAGGATAGAGCTGTAGATGTCAGATGTCAGCGGTACGTAACTTCTAACGCAGTCATCAATGACGTAAAGAGGGTCCTGGATGAGTTCTGGATCAAACCCCTGCTCCACTAGCTTCACTTTCATCTGCTTAAAAGTACCTGTGACTTCCACTGCACTCTGAAAACAAAGAAAAGAGCAGACACACATCAGTGGAACTGATCCCAGCTATGCATTTAAAGGAGAACAATGCCTGTTTGTTTGCATTTACATCCCCCCCATATTACAGTAATTGCATCAAAGCTTCTCCGCTCAATTACCTGGAGCCTTATGAAGCGAGGTCGCGCATATGAAGGCAGGTAGCTGACCACATGCTCGTATAGTTTACCTCCATCAAACTGTGCATCTTTCTTTACAGTGGCAGCTGCCATTCCTACACGCCCCTCATGTCCTAAGCAAAGTGGAATAACACAAGTTTTAAAAAAAATTAATTGATAGCTTCTCACATTCTGCCATAAATAAGTGAGTATAAAGAAAGTAGATGTACTAAAAGAGCATTACCTGGCACTTGGACTCCATAAACATTGGCCTCCTGCAGACAGTTACTCATTGAAAGGATGTCGGATACCTCTGTTGTTGCAACATTCTCGCCTTTCCACCTATGGGCTCAAGATATGTTACAATTTCAAATCAATACATGTATTTTCAAATTTTAAAATAACCTGTATGTAAAAGTAAATAAATAAAATAAAAATTGATGCAGAAATCTGTTGTAAAATGAAATAAAGAGCCTGCATCCCTCAGAATACACACATTTTAACTGGATTTTAACAAAGAAGATTGCCTTGCTTCTTCCAAAAATATATTGGGTCCTGTAATTTATTTTTAATAATAAGCTATTTGTGTTAAAGAGATATATTTAAATTTTAAAAATGTGCCTTTAGCTAATAAATCTAATCCAGCAAAATGGAAATGGGTCCCTTTTATGTTCCATCTTTTTTACTCTGGCTTAAAATTGCACAAATGAAATACTGATGATGAGGAGTAGGGCAGTACCTGAAGGTGTCCCCAACACGGTCCTGGAAGTAAATGAAGTTGTCTTTATCAATCCTCATTAGGTCACCGGTGTTGAAGTAAAGATCCCCCTTTTTGAGGACATTACGCAACTTCTTCCTCTCCGTCTGATCTTCGTTTAGAGCGTAACCGACAAAAGGAGCAATGTCTGTAATCTTCGACACCAGGAGTCCTGTTTCACCTTTGACAAAAATGCCAACATCAGCATGAAAGTATGAATTGTCTGTAACAAACAGCTGTAAGTATCTTTCACCTTTCGAGGCCTCGATGCAGAGACCGTCAGCATCTCGCATCGGCTCATCTTGCTCGGTGTCGTATTTCACAAGCAAGAAGGGAAACAACATCTGCAAAGAGCATTGAATTTAGAGTCCAGTTAGAAAAAGACTATTAAGGCTCTAATTTCTTTAAACAATTGCCCTGCTAAAACTGGATTTTCAATTTAAATTCATTAACAATTTAAATTCAAAACTAAAATATTATTATGCTTTTATCCCTATACCTCAGTTTAAAATCAATATTTATGGGCAAAAGAAAAGTTCTCTAATAAACTTATGCAATGCATTTTATCTGTAGTTTTGCTTTATACAGCATATAATGTAATCCTCACATGAAGTTGGATAGAGAAGTTGGAAGTTATTCTTAAGTTCCTTTAAAAAATAAAAATAAAATCCAAAAAATAAGGCACTACCATTTTCAAAAGAAAAATCTTTAGGATTTATTATATTTATTTTATATTGTACTTTTTGCAAAACAATAAATCAAAGTCCCTTGTGTTACTGTCTTTGCTCCCACTGGAAAGAAAGAAGTAGGACACGACACATCATAGGCCCAGAAACGCAACAATTTGTGCTGAATTTCTCTTTAGCATATTTGATTTTATTGGAATGGTTACTATGGCTACAGATCCTAGTACATTGGCTTGTTAAGTCCAAAAATGTGTACGCTTCTTATAGCATGACTGGTTTGTATGACTAGAAGCACTGAGAGTGAAATGAATTAAAATTGAAGCAAACCACATCATGACTGTTGAGACTTTTAGGAGGGAAATCATGAGCACATCAAAAAAGTGTTTCTCAGTTTAGTGTTATGGTACAGAACAAATGGGTCTGCTTCAATATCTTCACATCTGCACTTCCTCATTATTACAGACAAATGTTGCTTCATTTGAAGAGGATCAATCATAGAAGGTGTGAATATCCTCTTAGCTCAGGCTTCAGAGAAGAAAGGCTTGATGTACTTGGTTACAAAACAGTAGAAGACATGAACAAGTACAGATTATACAGAGCAAAGAAGGTTCACAGCATTATAATTTCATTTTAATCTTCACCTATCAATTATCAAACAGTTACCAGTTTAATGCTGTGATTTCATGTTTGTTAATACATTTCTACTGTGTATAGTAGGGATCCAAAAAGAAAACAAAAATCTACTAAGTACTGAGTTAACTTAAAAAGATGGGGTGATCATTTCTATCCAAAGCTTTGCTGATTTAAACATTAGGTATATAGTAGGTGTTTTCATTCTTACCTGGTGCAAAAAGTGTACACGTCCAACAGCTCCTATTTTCCCTGCATAGTTAAGAAAGCCAACATTACCCTCAGTTGAGGCATAAAACTCCAAAATCTGGACGTCTCCAAAGCGACCGAGGAACTCTTTCCAAACTTCTGCTCGGACTCCATTGCCGATGGCCAGTCTTACTTTATGATCTCTGTCATTATCTCTCTGCAGTTTTGTGCAAAATAAAAAAGGATAAAATTACAGAGTTTGCAAAATGTAAAGGTAAACTAGCATTATGCAGTTGTTTTTCATTTGATCACACTCTGGACATCACCTAGAACTACTAACATAATATTTTTAGCTGTAGCTTTGACTGACCACAAAAAATAAACATGTAATTGGTTTATAATATTACAGAGCGTTATAGAAACAAGGTTCATACAAATAAATCACTTAATATATAAAAATTGTATTGATCGATTGACTTTAATGATCTCACAGTGGATAAATTTACTCATTACATCAGCTCAAATAGTCAAACGAGAAGAATGTGCTAAAGAAAGAAAAAGGTACATGAAATATATATATACAGTGCATCCATATATGTCAGCTTTTTCTTTTATAGTAGGATCATTGTACAGGGTTACTGCACAAGGGGCACATGGGTATTTATATAGATGGATATTTATATTCATATATATAGTTATTGCACTGGGTGTCAGATATAGAGAAACAGATTATTGTACAGGGCATCAGATAGTAATTACATCTTATACATTGTACAACTTATTGTCTTTGTAATGTCGCATTGTAGAGTCTGGTTGCAGCAGGGATGAAAAACCTGCCGCAGCGCACCTTTTTACAAACAGGGTGTAAAAGTCTTTCACTAAAGGAGCTGCTCGGCTCCTCTACAGTCTGGTTCAGAGGATGGAAGGTGTTGTCCATGAATGATGTAAGCTTGGACAGCACCCTCCTATCAGCCAATTCCTCCACTGAGTCCAGAGTGCAGCCTAGGACAGAAGCCGCCTTTTTCGCTACCATATTTTCACGACTATAAGGCGCATATTAACGTCTTTTTTTTCCCTCAAAATGTGCGGTGCGCCCTATGTGTGTTGTTACTGCGGACGTTGTTGAGGCCACCATGAGAACGTTAAAGTGTGGGCGTGGATTGTGTATAAAAGAACAGGTATGTGCTTTATGCAGAACATTGTTGTGTTAACAACCCTGAAAATGGCAAAGAGACACGCCTATGAAACACAGTTTAAACTGAAGGCTACCAGCTAAGCAGAGGAAGATGGAAATCGAGCAGCCGCGAGAGAATTCAAGATTAATGAATCGATGGTTCGCAAGTGGAGGCCTGTTGGAAACTGCCGCCTATGGTGATTTTTAAGAGAAAGACTTTGCCTAAAGAGAGTTTTCCAGCTGGAGTCGTTATTAAGTGGGTTGGTGGCCTGGGGGTTGGAGACATGTTGAGAGTTGAGGACAGGGAGGGCCTAGTGTGAAAGGGTTGCTGGCCTGGGGGTTGGAGACATGTTGAGAGTTGAGGACAGGGGGGTCTGGTGTGAAGGGGGTTGGTTCCCTAACAAAATAGTTCAACAGATCTGGTCAAACTTACCTGCCAAATTTTAATTCTCAACAAGCAAACAATACCGACTATTTATTAAGACACAGAAGGATTTTTACAGGCATCATCCTGCACCAAATCAACAAAGAAAAGTTCGGCAGAGATTGCACCGTTTGTCTCTCAGACCCCGAGACGCTTGAACACCTGTTCCTCCGCTGCCCTGCCCGTAGCATCTTTTGGGACAAGATTGGTGAGATAATGGAAAGTTTGGAACCGGGCATCAGCAAAGGAAACAAAGAGTGGGACTGGATAAGACTTTTTGGAACACATAAAAAAAGACAACACTCTTTTCATCTGCATACCGTAAGCAATATAATCCTTTCTCTCGCAAGACACTCAGTATACATTTGCAGGAACTACAAACTCTTTGAAAATAAGTCACTGGATTGCTGGAAACTGTTCATAGGACTTTTTGAAAATCACAGGAATACACTCACAAGCATAGACAAACAACTTTCTCAGGACATTTTTGGACTGCTTAGCAAATGCAAATATTTTCAGGACTGGACAATGTGATTAATTTTGTGCATAAACATAATTTTTTTTTTTCCACTGTAGATAATTAAGAGCAAAAGTATTTTTTGTTGATATGGGTTTGTAACAAGTTTCTTTTTGTGTTTTTTTTTTCTTTGGTGTTTCTGTAAATGAATAACAATGTTTTGATTATTCCTTTTGTTCACTGTATATAGTTGCACCTATTCTTTTAAATTGAACTTTTTCTAATAAAAAAAGATTAAAAAAAAAAAAAAAAAAAAAAAAGGGGGTTGGTGGCCTGGGGGTTGGAGACATGTTGAGAGTTGAGGACAGGGAGGGCCTGGTGTGAAGGGGGTTGGTGGCCTGGGGGTTGGAGACATGTTGAGAGTTGAGGACAGGGAGGGCCTGGTGTGAAGAGGGTTGCTGGCCTGGGGGTTGGAGACATGTTGAGAGTTGAGGACAGGGAGGGCCTGGTGTGAAGAGGGTTGCTGGCCTGGGGGTTGGAGACATGTTGAGAGTTGAGGACAGGGAGGGCCTGGTGTGAAGGGGGTTGGTGGCCTGGGGGTTGGAGACATGTTGAGAGTTGAGGACAGGAGGGCCAAAGTGAAGAGGGTTGTTGGCCTGGGGGTTGGAGACATGTTGAGAGTTGAGGACAGGGAGGGCCTGGTGTGAAGGGGGTTGGTGGCCTGGGGGTTGGAGACATGTTGAGAGTTGAGGACAGGAGGGCCTGGTGTGAAGGGGGTTGGTGGCCTGGGGGTTGGAGACATGTTGAGAGTTGAGGACAGGGAGGGTCTGGTGTGAAGGGTGTCAAAACGTATGAAAACCTGTTTAATTCGTCTGCAAACTAGGTTTCTCTGTCTGCGGCCCTGCTGGTGGTGTTCCTCTGCCCAAAGCCGGAGATGTTCTTGGGTTCTCTCCACACATCTCTAATGTTGTTTTGTGCCAGTTGTTCCTCTATTTTCCTCCTATAGTCCTTCTTTGCTGTCGTTATCCTCCATTGGAGCTCTTGCTGGACTCTACAATGCTCTTCTGTCTCCTGAGTTGAGAGACCTTTTTTTCCTGGTTCAGGAGGACTTTCAGCTCAGGAGTCATCCAGGGGTGGTTGTTTGGGAAGCTCTGTAGCCCTTGTGTGGGCATCGTGCTCAGTGATACATTCATTTAGACCAGGCATCCCCAAACTCGGTCCTTCAGGGGCCGCTGTCCTGCAGGTTTTAGAGGTTTCCCTGCTTTAGCACAGCTGATTATAATGATTGCAGTAGAGCTAAAGCCTGTTAATCAGCTTTCAATTAAAATCAGCTGTGCTGGAGCAAGGAAACCTCTAAAACCTGCAGGACAGCGGGCCTCGAGGACCGAGTTTGGGGATGCCTGATTTAGACTGTTGGTGTCATCACCATGGAAACTTTGCAACATGCCCTAGCCTGTGGTTCTGAAACAATCCTTCAATTTCTCATTAAATGTTGGCACTAAAGTCTGTTCGTTTAGACTTGCAGCAAATGAAATACATAATTTTGGTGAAAACTAAGCTTAATTGACAAACAGAAAAGTGCTTTAGTGCAGCATATTGTGTCTGTGTTAAGAAACAATCTAGTTGTAATTTCTTAGTACCTTCAACACTGTGTGCTGCATAGGTTTTACTATTCACATATCAAGAAATTTTGCTCCAGAACGTATGGTACTAAAATATTTCTCACAGGCATTTTTCTCTGTGAAATTTCACAATTTTTGTTTAGTTTTATTAACCATTGCTTAATGACCTCAGACTAAACTGATTCAACTGTGTATTTGCATTGCATGTCTTCTTGAGATACATTACTGAGAAGGTTCAGTCGAATCCTATACACACAAACAGGTTATAACAGGTTCTCTATCAAGGGAAGAAAAGCAACTGAACTGACATTCTGTCAGTAAAGTCATTACCTTGAGTTTTTGCAAAAGACTTTGAATTGGTTACATTCTTGTAATGATCTAGTTCAGGTTTATCTTAATGCTCTCCAATATGAACCCATAATTGATTTCTAGTAAAGTTTTTTTTGTTATTTTTATTGATCAATTGTAAATATTTTGCACTTCCTGTCCAGATGTCAGAATTTATCATTAAAATCCTTGACACAAGCAAAACTGTACATTCCCCGGCCTTTATCCATGTGACTCAACTAGCATGACCATTTACCTAAACCCTATACCGGTACAGTAAGATTTGACTGCTTAGTTACTTGATACGACCTCCAAAGTAAAGGCCAGCATCTATTCCGAGAAGTGACCAGATAGAGACAACTCGCCTCCTGTGACTCGTGCAAACTGAGACAGTACTCCATGTGATGCGACCAAATACTCTGAATGGCATACATGTACCATCTATGTTTACAGTACTATTAAATATAAATAGGTATTTGTAGCTCTAAAAACATCACGCTGTCTTCTTTTTAATTAGTCTGATTTTGATGCTACTTTAATAAAAAAAAGTGAGATAATGTAGTCAAAGGCTGCAATGCGATAGTGATTTAAGGATTTCTATTTCAGACAGCCAGCTGTGCTGTGCGCTGGCAATGTACAGATTTGGAAAGATCTCGCAGACAAAATCTGCCTCCGTAGAAACTTGCTGCAGGCGGTTTATAATATTCTGACTCTGCAGCTTTCTGTCATGAAGGGTTTTACAGCAATTGAGATTGTATCTAGGATATCCTGCTTAAATGTCCTATGTGAACTTGTATGAGTTGCAGTTGTATCAGTAAGTGATTTAAAAAGTATTAAAGTTAAAGGTTTGACTTATGATCCTTAAAATATGCTGCACGGAAATCCTCTAATTAAGAGCCTTCAATGCAGTTACAGTGCACAATCATAGTTGATCTAATAATAGTTATATACATTTCCTTCTTTAAAGTTAAAACAAAGCTAAATTTTCTGAGAAGTACTAATCAACAGGTTCTATATTTACATAGATTATCAAGAAGTAAAGGCTGGCCTTACTGTTGACAATCTAACAGCCAAATGTAAAACATTCTTTTAAGAGACTTTCTGTCATCACATGGAAATAAAACAAACTGGAATACAGTCTCAGAGATATAAAGTGATCATCATATCAGGGCCAGACAGAAAAAACCTAGACCTAGTCTTGGAGAAGGCATGACAAAGACCAAATCAATATAAAGCCCTTTTTTCAATAACTTTTGCTGCATTTCATCAATCATTTCAGTGAAGAGGAATGTTGCAAGAGTAGTCCTGCATAAAGAAAATTCCTGCAACAAGTTCAGACAAGGGGGCCAAGAGTGAGGCTGGTCTTGAGACCAACATCAATGTAAGGTATAGCAACAATACCTGCCCTAATATCTTTTTCTACCCTTTTAACTAAATGCTTCATCTCTTTCCAGGACTGCAGGTGACTTACTGGGTATGAAGGGCTGTTGCAAGGCCAAGGACACGAAGCAAGCGTGTATCCACTGTTACTACTGTACATGCTAAACCAGTAGGAGTTAATTCAGCAACGTTAATGAATCTCCAGAGTTCTCAGATACGATTAAAGATGTTAACCAATGATTTTACAGAGTGGGATCAGTAACGTACCTTGAGATGACATATGAATGGCAAATATGAAAAACTCAACTGAATAGAAACATTGCCTACTGGCTAAACCTGACTTATTATAAAAAAAATGACGATATGCACTGTCAATGTAACTAGTAAGTAAAAGATTGACATACAGAAAACGCTAATAAGAAAGAGCCTAGAGATCATTAGCCCATATTGTTACTTAACTGTCAAATTATGCTTAGTGAGTGCATTAAAAACTAAACAAACAAATTTGGTCTCAAAATCTATCAACACATATGTTCCTAAATGTTCTTTGCTTTGGGATTGAGATAAAGGTTATGCTAATAGGAGCCAGCCAATCGTAGCTTTGGCCGTAAGGTCTCTGGTGTCTGTCGCGGCAGGAATCCTCGAACCCGGTGGTGGTGCCCGGAAGTAAGGGATGCCGTCAAGCTGAAGAAGGAGGCCTAACTGGCCTTGTTAGCTAGTGGGACTCCAGAATCAGCTGAGAGGTACCGGCAGGCCAAGCGTGTTGCGGCTTGTGAGGTTGCAGAGGCAAAAAATCTGGTCTGGGAGGAGTTCTGAGAGGCCATGAAAGAGGACTATCGGTCAGCCTCGAACGTGTTCTGGCAAACTGTCCGCCACCTCAGAACGGGAAGTGGTGCTTCACCAACTCTGTTCACAGCGCGGGTGGGGAGCTGCTGTCCTCAACTAGGGATGTTGTCGGGTGGTGGAAGAAGTACTTCAAGGATCTCCTCAATCCCATTGCCACACCCTCCGATGAGGAGGCAGAGACAGAGGGGTGGATGAGATTCGTACCTTAAGTCTTTGGATGTTGTAGGACTGTCTTGGCTGACTCTGCAGTATCCCGTGAAGGCCTGGGACAGAACTCCTGGTGTGCCGACCAGCGTGGTAGTTCCTCTCTTTAAAATGGGGGACCGGATCGGTGCAGTGTCTGCAATGATGTGGTCGCTGTATAGGACTGTAGTAGGGAAGAGGGAGCTGAGTTGGGGGGCAAAGCTCTCGATTTATTGTTGTACCTACGTTTCCACCCTCACCTACGGTCATGAGATCTGGCTAATAACCAAAAGGACAAGATCCCAAATGCAAGCGGCCGAAATGAGTTTCCTTCTACTCAGGAGGAGCTTGGAGTACAGTTGTTGCTCCTCAAAGTCGAAAAGGAGCCAACTGCGGTGGCTCGGGCATCTGTTTTGGATGCCTCCTGGTTGCCTCCCTTGGGAGGTGTTCCAGGCATGTCCCATTGGGAGGAGGCCTTGTGGAAGGCCCAGGACACACTGGAGGTACTACGTCTCTGAGCTGGCCTGGTGTCACCTCAGGGTTCCCCCAGAGCAGCTGGAGAAGGTGTGTGTGGACCGGGAAGTCTGGGCATCTTTGCCTAGACTGCTGCCTCCGCAACCCGGCCCCAGATAAGTGGAAGAAAACGGATGGATGGATGGCTAAAGGATATGTGGCTTCGCTTTCTTGTATTGGCGGATCTACCGGGGTGGCATGGGGTGGCATTTGCCACCCTAAATCAAAGCCTTGCCACCCCAGTTGCCACCCCAGCTTACAACTTGGAAATCGAGAATCAGATCATAGCAATTTGGACACTTACAATGTGGAAGCTCCGATGTCCGACTCCATTGAATGCAGCCAGGACAGGGTAGAGCGAGTGCGGAAGAGAGACGGCTTTGTTTTGAATTAAAGTGGCGCGAAGGGAGGAGAGCACTGCAAGGACAGAGGGCAGCAGCATGGAAGGAAAGAGGTAAGAAGAGTTAATTTACTAAATTATATTAAAGAGAGAATAAGAATGAAAATTTGTCCTAATAATAGTTGTACTGCCGAATCTGAGATAACGAAAAATTAATCGTTCGTGTTCGTACATGTTAGTGTGCAGGTCTGTGTAAGGTAGAGAAGCTGAAATTATTCAAACTTAGTCAAGGAAAACATTGTAAAGTTAGTTAAAATCTACAGAGATGAAGATGAAAGACTGCAGCAGCATATCAAGTTTTTTCCTCCCGAAGAGTAAGACGAGAGAAAAGGCAGAAATAAAAGAGAAAAGCAAGGCTGACGGAGGAGGAGATGAGGTGGAAGGAGAAGAACAGCATAAATCTGACAGGGAGATCATGGATGATGACCAAACCGAGGGAAAGGAGGAAGAGGTAGAAGACCACAGCAATGAAGAGATGGAAGAGGGAGATTTTCAGCAAGATGAAGGAGGAGGCGAGAGAGGAGAAAACAGGCAGCTGTCAGACAGTGACAGGAGAAAATCTGAGGCATCAAACATCTCCAGGCCAGCTGGTCCGCATGGTATGGAGACTGCACACTAAGTTACATCTTAATAAGAAAAATAAATTATGATAAAATGGACATTTTGCTGTATTTAAATAGTTCTTGCTCAGAAAAAATATATTTTGATAGTGATCATTGTTTGCTTTAATGTAAATTACTGAGAAACAAGAAAAAAATGAATGAAAGAGTATTCAGTATTTCAGTAGTAAGTGAAGGCTGCAATGTTTTTAATCTAATGCTTAAGTTAAATTTCAAAATGAAATAAATTTACCTTAACATTTCCCTTAATAGGCTTATACATTATGGGATGCAAATTCATACAGCCTGATGGTTGGCTAATAAATAATAATTTCATATTCTGTCTATATTAATTGTTAAAATAATAATTTTACAGACATATCCAGGTCGTGGTGTAAGGGGCCAGCACAACCAAAACGTGAGAACTTCCCAAAGACTTTACAAGGGGGAGCCAAGAGAAGCTTCAGGATTGACTGGTATAATTCCAATCCCTGGCTGGAGTACTCGCTGCTGAATGATGCAGTTTACTGTTTTGCCTGTAGGCACTTTTCTCTTCCTGATGCACCTAGGACTGTTTTCACCTCCCTCGAAGGCTATTGTAACTGGAAAAAGGCAACAATGAAGGACAGTGGGTTCTGTTCTCATGCCAGATCTGAAAGTCATGTAAATGCAACAACAAAACAAGAAAACTGCAGACAAAAATATTTCAATTTTGGGACTAATGGATGAGAAAAATAAGAAAGAAGTGATTGAAAATCAGTACTACATTAAAACCTTAGCTGAGATCCTACTTCTCACTGCAACAGAAAACACAGCCCAGCGGGGTCATAGGGAATCATCTGACTCAGTAACCACAACCCAGTGATTAAAAAAAGGCTTAAACAACAAGCTAAAAATGCCAAATATACAAGCAAAACAATCCAGAATTTGCTTTTGTAGGTATGACAGCTACAAGATATTTTCATTGGTGAGCCTTTAAATGATGATTACAAAAGGTGTGTGTATAAGAAATTGAAAGTTCTCATTTTTGGTTTAACAAAATGTATGTATGCCTACTGTATAAGCAACTGAAATGATGACCATAACATCTGTATAAGAAACATACTGTTTTGCATTTTTCTTTTGGTTTTATACAGTATGTATGCAGTTATTTCAACCACTAAGAAATTAGTGGAAAGACTGTTCTGAGTTGATATTAAAAGCACTGAAATTTCCAGTACTTTGTTTCAGTTAAAATTTATTTCTAGTGCATTTAGGGTCATGGGAGCCCATCCCAACAATTATCAGGTGGGAGGCAGGGTGCACCCTGGACAGGTTTGCAGTCTTTTGCAGTATATTATATACAGCCCTATATTTAAATCTATCTATTGATCAAATATATATATATATATATATATATATATATATATATATATATATATATATATATATATATATGTGTGTATGTATTATCATCTACTGCTGTTGCCACCCCAGAAAAACTGCTGCCCCTCCTTTGCCACCCCATTAATATTTTTCTAGATCCGCCCCTGCTTTCTTGTGTACAAGAAAATCATTAATTTATATTTAAATTAAACTAACTCTATAAAGCAAATGTGCAGCTAGTTTTTTTTAAATGATAAGCGTTTATATTTTATTGTGAATTTCATTAAAGATCATAGTAACCAAAAGGAAAATCAGGACTGAGAAACCTTATCTCAAACAAAACCAGAAACCGGTAAAAGCCTTATCACTGCATCTTGATAGATGGCCACAGTAAAATGGGTTATTTGCTAAGATGTTTTTTTACATGTCAACATATGTTAGGAACCTTTTAATGTCTGAATGGTTAATAGCTCAGAATCATTTAGCCTAAGAGAACAAGTACAATCCCATGAATTTGTCAGATACAAAACTAAACAAAAAACTTTTTAAAGGTACACTATGCAACCGGTGTTGATTTTCCAGTGAGGCTCCCTCCAGAGGGCGAAAGTAAAAGTGCACTGTCGTAAATATGCACAGCTGTTCTCCTGGTTTCTCCGTCAAGCCAGGCGCGGTTGTTTTGAGCTTAGCAGCGCATGACTAACGCTGCGTTCACACTGGACGTAGCTGGCGCGACAGAAGCAGCGAGTTTACATGCAAAGTCAATGGTTGACGCGGGTCAAGGCGCAGCAAAAGGTCCCGCGGCGCGTTTTGAGCACCAGGCGCAGCACGTCTGAGCAGCTGAAGCAGCGCGTCGGGTGCGTTTAACGCAGGGAGAGAGACACAGCGCTGATGATCACTCCTCTTAAACAGTTTATTGACGCCTAAATTAACTTAAAATGCAGAAATCTGCCGGCAGAATATGCAGATTGGATTATTTAGATGAAAAACACCTACCAGCTGCCGCGGTGAACCGCTGCTGATGAAGGGATCCATACTGTCGGCGCCCCGCTGGTATGTGGGGGTCTGAGCGGCTCCGACAGAAAAAATATTGAAGGCAGGATAATAATCTGAATGAACTGACTGCACTGATTACGTTTTCAGGTGTATTTTCTCACTTAAACACATATTAAAACTACTTTATTCCCACTGATCACAGCAAATATAGCTGCAAGGCAGAGAAAGGATAGTGAAGCTCCGCCCAACGCGCCTCAGACACACTTTTGCACCGCGCAGCCAGAGCAGCAAAGCTGCTTCAGCCACGCGTCAGAACTAACTGGTACAAGCAGCAAAAAGGAAGCAGCAGACGCGATTTTGCTGCTTTTGCTGCGTGAACGTAGCATAACTGCACAAAGATTGCCACTGTGCTAGCAACAAAAATGCTTTTAACTGGGGGCGTGTAGCAGTTCTCGCCGTAAAGCAAGACTGACTCTCGTGAGACTTCTGAGCCTGTGGGTGCGGGTCGGTGCTCCTGCAGTTGCAAGTGCAGTATTTCCCCCACAGACCACCAGGGCGGCCGAGAATACCTTTGTTCAACCTGAAATGACTCATTTAGTCATCCATAACGTTATGGAACACATTAATTAACTGAAAAATGTTGCATAGTGTCCCTTTAACAGAACACCTGGAGAAATTCTGCTCATTACTTTAAAGAAAGCCTTGGTCCTTGAAGAAAGTATGTAAAGGACTATGGATTAAATATTTATAATGTATTGCAATGCATTTAAATGTATTTCATATTTTAATAGAATAGCTTTTATTTTCCTTTTACCTTCGGCGTGCAACAGAGGTAGCGCATCACTTCTCCAATATACTGAACGACAGTCACGTTGTATTTCCTGCAGTCGTCCCAGAACTGAGAGGCAGAAAACTTTCTTTTAAGAACCATGGTGGACCCTGTGAGATCAAACATTAAAGAAAACAAAAAGTTTAATGTGATAAATGACGGCTAGATTAATAACAATAATAACAGGAAGAGTAAATGCAATTGTAATAAAAAAAAAATAGTGGGGCAGATAAATGCACATATCAGACAACAGAACAGGGATTCTTCTGCACAGCATCAAATTTCACCAAATAGGAATGTAGCACACAATGCTTGCATATGTACATACAGTTGCTGTGCAACCTTTCACCTATTTAGGTAACGCAGCCAGAAAGGATCTGTACAGATTATTGGATCCTTGTGACAAAAGACTCTTTCACTGGCACTGAACAGGAGCAGGATAATCAGAGGCAGAAAAGTATCGGTTCTCTGCAGTTAGAAAAACAAAACAAGCTGTTTGCAGTTTTATAACAACCTCAGGTTAAGTTTCACCAAAAACCTTAGAAGACTTACAATTTCCTTAGTCATAAAGAGACACTACTGGAACATGAGATGCAGTAAAATTGTAATCAATTGCATTGATTGTCAAGGCTAATGAGTAAAGATATCCTGTGATATGCAACTACAGCTATGATATTTTAAGGTATACTGTACCTGGCTAAATTGCATAAGCATGAAAGACTTCACAAACTTAAACAAAAAAGAGGAGTTATCTTTGTTAATGACATTATCAATCAGGACGGTAAAATTATGCTTGTTCAAACCTTTCCTTTAACCAACTCACTGGAGTAACTGTAAAAACATGGAAAAAAATAATAAAAAATGGAACTACTAAACTATACAGTATGCTTTTTTAAAACCTCCAATAAGAAACTCTAATTGGCAAAAGGGAATTAAAATAAATAGATAAAATATATAATTTTTCTATTTAATAAAAAATCGCTGAAGGTTGCCCCATATAACACAATTGAAAAATGGGAGGAGTATTTTGACTGCCCGCTGCAATAGGATAAAATGTTTAAACTAATCTGTTGATGTGCAAAATCTCTATTTTTAAACTTAAATCATATATAATTTCTTCTTTCTTTCTGCTTGATGTGGTTTCTGTTTTACTAGGAGAGTTTATCGACAGTCACGATTTAGTTAATTTAATCATTGTACTCGTTGAAAGGTTTATTTTTATAGCCAAAAATAAATTCTCACTTAGTCTTAATTTATTTAAAGCAATTATTTAGCATTTATTAACTTTAGAAAGTTATATGAACTGATAATGAAGCCAGAAAACATAAAAACATATGGGAAGTTCTGAAATGTGTACTATGAAAATGTAATTTGTGGATGAATGAATTGATTCAACGTGGGTGAATTAATGTGAAGGAGAATGAGGGGAGGGAGTGTGGGAGGTTTTTGGGTTGGTACAATAACTGTGTAAATGTATCCCGTGCTATGATTTATGTTGATTTAAAAAAAAAAAAAAAAAAAGATTTCACAATCTGCAAAGAAATCACTAAAATTGTTGTTAGAAAGACTTTGTGACCTAAATTTTGTAACCTAGAGTTGACACATACAAGTTATTTTAAATGATTCCTCTGGCCAATATACAACACTTGACACTATCAATGCTATGAGAGGAGCTCACCTCTTGAAATACCACCTATGTAAGTTGGGAGAAGTCGCACCGTCATTAGCCAAGTCGTGTGTGACATGGAAGAACATACTGCTTTAAGGCCACAGGCTCTTATATAGTCATGGAGCTAAGGCTTTTTCTCTAAAAAAATTCTGCCTGTTCGACCCCTGGTCATGGCTGAGGCAAGGAAAAGGTTTAAACCTTCTGAGGAGGCTAAAAAGAGCAAACGGGAAAGGGACCGTGCATGAGCAAAAACAGGAGTCGATCTTGGAAAGGAGTTTTTTCATTGGCGCATTGGTGCTAATTTGAGGCTAAATGCATTGAAACTAATCCTGCGAAGGTAAAACAATGACTCAAAGTACACTGTCAAAAGAAAGGACTTCATTAAGAAAGCAAAGAAAATGTAGACTGGCCAAGTCAATCATCTGACCTTAACCCAGCAGAACATTAATTTCACCTCTGGAGGAATAGACAGGAGGGAGAAAACTCTCAAAACATACAAGAACTGAAAAAAGCGCCAGTAAAGGCTACAGTCTGAAGGCAGTCGGTGCAAGCAAAGCTTATGTCACCAAATATCAAATGTTACTCACATTAAGATTATTCATTCATTTTCCGTTCATCTAAACAGTGATATATCCTAAGCTGTTTAAAACATCTACATGTGAATACCAGAGATGGGAAGTAACGAAGTACAAATATTTCGTTACTGTACTCAAGTAGATTTTTCTGATATTTTTACTTTACTACTTATTTTTATAGCGACTTTTTACTTCTACTCCTTACATTTTTACACAAATATCTGTACTTTCAACTCCTTACATTTTAAAAAATTGGCTCGTTACTTTAGTTTTGAATCATTTCAATGGAGTTACCGTTATTATTTTTCACATCATCAATACCAAATTCAATCTAATTGGATGGGAATCTACGTTGCACTTGACGCACCACTACAAGATGAATCGACAGATTCGGCGGTATTCATTCACGGCAAATCATTGCAGCTTGGTGGCGGTGGCGTTAGCATAGTAGCATGGACGACGAGATGATTGAAAATTAACACAACAGAGATCTAGTCCTATAGGCAGACATCCATTTAAAATGTAGGCAACGGCATGAAAAAAGGGGTTTCTACTTTTACTTTTATACTTAAGTAAATTTACAAGCCTGTACTTTGTTACTTTTACTTGAGTAAAGAAGTTTAATCAGTACTTCCACTTTTACCAGAGTATTTTTTAACACAAGTATCTGTACTTTTACTCAAGTACGGAAAGTGAGTACTTTTGCCATCTCTGGTGAATACCAGGGAATAAAAGCTGATATTTGGAACAATTGTCTCATGCCCATCTTTCTATCTCAAACCCAAATTTATTTAAAACTGAACAAAAAGAACAAGGAGATGTTCCTTGCTGTTCCAATACTTTAGAAGGAGACTGCAGATCTACCAGTTTCTGTTTCTAAGATGCCAGGACAGGAGACAAGAGAATAGAACATGGTTTAATGTTCTTACCATTTTCAATGCAGCCGAAAAATCCAACAACAAACCCTGCTGTGTGGTACAGAGGTAGATTAACGTACACAACATCCTTGGATGTCATGCCGTATGTAGATATAACAGCCAGAGCTGATAGGAGGCGATTCTGGTCGACCAGAGCGGCCTTAGGAAGACCTAAAAGACAGTATAACACACGAGGGATGTTTGAACACCGAAGGACTGATTTCAGACCATGTAAGAATGGAATGCCACAAAATATCAGTAAAACACTTCAATACCAGTAGTGCCAGAGGTGTAAATGTAAACAGCAGGACTTTTGAGTGTGACGTGTGATCTCAGGGATAGAGATGGTGGTGTGTCCAAGGCCTCCTCAACTTTCTCAGAAAAGTTCTCGATTCCTGGGGTATCACAGGTTTTGGCCATGAGGAGGACAGTGACGCCCTGCTCCCTCAACGAGGGCAGAACATCCTCCACTGCCTCTTTTAGCTCTGCAAGAAAAGCACTAATATTAAGAGATAAAAGAAAAGTATACAAGTGCATTATTTAAGCAGATGGTGATCAGTGTGCAACCCTCCGTCGAATGGATACAACATTTTAAACATTAATTTAAAAGTCATTAGACATATGAATTGCGTAGTACCATCCAAACTCAACAAAAGACAGACTTAAGTTCATCTTAACTAATTGTTTTAGACAATACTACTGAGAGAGGACCCTGAGGAAGACTCAGAACTCTCTGGAGGGACTACATATCCATTTGGTCTGGGGACCAGATCCCCCAGAATGAGCTGGAGAATGTTGCTGAGGGGGAGGGGTGTCTGGGGGTCCTCCCTGACCTAATGTTTTAAAGGTATAGAGGAGGATTTTTGCAAGTTTTTGAAAAAGACCCGCTGCCTCCACATGAAAAAAAAAAAAAATGCACAAGCACAACCCTTAATCTGCTCCCGAGAGATAACCCCTATTAAATATGTGTGAGAGCGTGCAAGAGCTCTGTTTAAAAGTTGTTGTTTGCATCGCTCATGTAAGCTTACTTTCCAAAAGATTTGCAATTGCATGTAGAATGGCCTTACATAAACATATCACCAGAATGATTGACAATTAGAAGGACCACTTATTTTGATGATCCACTCGGAAAAAGAACATCCTCCAATATACCTTTAAAGCTTACATTTAGAAATAATAACAGCATATTCTAACTTTGTTAGCACCGATTCGTTTGAAATAAGGACCTCAAGATGTTCACTGTTGCCATGGGTGGTTCTAGACAGGGGCCAACAGGGGCCAGTGCCACTATTGAACTGGCCTGGCCTCTGTCATGGCCCCTGCACTGAAAACAAACACAAAAGCAACATTTTAAATATAAGTAGTAAAATTCTTTTTTAACTAATGATATTTTGCCTTGATTTAAAGTGTATAATATCAAATTATCTTTTTTAAAAGCAGAATTACTTATTACTTTGGCAGTTAAATATGATGCTTGCCACAATTGTATTCTACATACAATAAATATAAATGTACTCTGTCTTCTCTGTGTTCGGCCAGAGCAGTGCAGTGTGGCTACAAGTTTACTGAGAATGATGTGTCCTGTCTCTAATGCATTTCATGATTAATTTAATACTTCTGCAAAGATGTATACGTAAGGTACAGAGTCCAGAGATTCCCATGGTAACAATAGGAGATCTGCCGCAGAAGAACCAACATTGGCAGATCCTCCCATTTACCAGATTCAATTAAGGGCAAATGCACTTATTTTAAGAATATTTTTTACTTTTTTAGACCCGTTTTTGCAGAGTAACGAAATCAACTCTTATGAGATGCAATGACAGGAGAGACAATTACTGATTTATCCTTTGGACCAATGTTATACTTTGCCAACATATACACTTTTATTCGTCTTGAGTGTTAATTTCTGTAACCTTGTTTTAATTTGTGTTTTTTTGTAGTTCTTTTCCCAAAAAAAGCCATAGTAACAATTTGACCTGCATTAAATTTGGTCTACAGTATTATATTGTAACCAATGGAAACTCATATCAATGAACCAAGATTATATTCCAATTCTACATTTAAAAAAAAATCAAGATTACATGATGGAGTAGTGGCTACATGACTAGATAAGAAATATGCACAAAAATACACCAAATGCAGACAAACAGTTAAGGTTTATTTTAAAAACAAGTACTGTTGTTCTATAATGTTACTTTCTAGAGCTTGCTGTGGATAATTCAGCTCAATTATCTTTATTTTGGTCATCAGAACAAATGTATCCCACATTCTTATCTTCAGGTAACAAGTTTCAAGGTGTTACTTTATTGTATGTCTCGTACCCTATCTGTTGGTTGTGCTGATCTTTTTACATCTCGTTGCAGGTGATGAAGCAGACTGAAAATATTTTATCATTATCTCCTATCTCCTCTTTCTTTCATTTTTTCTCCTTTTTTTGTTTTTCCTCTGCGGTTCTATTTATATTGCAGTGTCCATATAATGTGTAAAACTCCCTGCATAATTATAATAAATCAATTTAAATGCATGAAACAAGCAGAACACTATGGCAATAACCGTACTGCTCCACTTGTGAAAGTAAAATCTGTTGGGCTCCTTTTGGCATCAAGACACTTATTCTTATTGCCACATTGCCAGACAGGACCTTTTTTTTTTTTTTTTTTTTAAAGAAAGAAAAAATTTAATAACGTGTCTCAATGGACTGCATTGCATGCAAGTTTGAGTTTAGGATGGAGATTAAATTAATAATTATTATTATTGTTATTATTATTAGTGCATAATAATTTAAAAAAAGTTTATTTTGTAATTATGTTTCTTTGTAATTTTGAAATACTGGTATTAATACAGAAATCAAAAATTTTGTCAGCAGTATTGGATAAAGAAATCGAAAATATGACTAAAGAAAACCTGATTGGTCCCAGATTTGTTTCCTATCAGCTGTAACCAACTTCTGCAACATGCTCCTACCTGCAGCTGCAATCAGCACCTTGGCCTTGCAGCAGTTGAAGCAGTGAAGCAGAGACTTGCTCCGGATGTTATAGTTTAATAGAGCAACAGGAGAGCCTAGCTTTGCCAGAGCCAGCCAGGTAAACAAGAAGCTGGGCTCGTTTCCCATAAAGAGCGCAGCGGTGAACCCTGGTTTGTACCCGGGCTGAGACAGCAGAGCATTGGCGATCTTATTGCTCTCTTTGTCCGTCTCTCCATAAGTGTAGATTTCATCCCCAAACACGATGAACGGTTTCTCTGAAAGCGCAGCTCTTCGCTCCAAGAAACGCTCCAGGGCGAAGAAGGGTGGTGTTCTTCTTCGATTCGCTACATACTTGAATAAAATTCGCATTAGAACCCCAACGTATTGAACATCCACCCATAAATACGGGAAAAATGTTTTTAGTGCATATGGGATGATGAAGACGGAGGCTAAAATGGTTGAAATCACATAAAACTCCATAATGAACTTTCTCCTCTGGTTCTAATGTGCAGCCCTGACTGAAAAACATACAAAACATGGGGGGGAAAAATGCTTAGTGGGGCGGAGCAATTCCTAGCAGCTCCTAAAATATGCACAACTAATATGCTGGGGTCTTAAAAAAACTGTATCTTTAAAGATTGAAAAAAAATCTTTGCAGACATTTCATGCATGGACTCTTTTTAGTTTTATTTAAACACTTCCAAATCCCCAAGACAAGGCATCTAAGGGCACTCAGATGAAAAGAGGTCAATCTCCTTAGGTAGATGCAGAAGTCTGCAGCTTGTCTGGGGTGAGCGGAGAATATAGGCATTCTATTAACATATCTAGATAGAAAATGAAAGTTCAGGCTATCCTGTCATTTACACTGAGAGAGAGAATAACAGTTAACTCATGGATTGAGAACATGTATAGAAAGAATTTTTGTTTGACAATCTCATTATTTTGGTTTGTGTTTCCCTGACTTCAGCCGTCTTTCTCTTCTTAGTTGTTGGTGCTTTTACACCCTCAATGCTTCCATTAGACATGCCAGCAAATTTAATTAACTTTCCAAGGCGTCCTAACCCATCATATCGTCAGGATTTAGGGTTCTTTGAGGTTTATCTTTTCTTTTTTGTCAGTTTTAACCTTTTCACCATTATTTAATTTCTATTTCTCACCTGCGTTTTTTTCTGCTCAGGCTTGTTAGGTTTCTGTTTCTGTGATGTTTTTCTTTTGATGTTCAGTTTTGCTTTGGTCTTTGTTTTATAGTTTTTTTATGGTTTAATTCTTAGTTTTGTGTTCTTTGTGTTATTCTTAGTTAGTGTCTCAGTCTTGGTTCTGTTGTGTTTTTCTTTTGAGTTTTCAGTTTTAATTTTCTCCTTGTTTTATAGTCTTAGTGGTTTAATTCTCATTTTGTTGTTTTTTCTGGTTATTTTCAGCTCTCTATGATTTTTATTTGTTCCCCTATGCTGCCCTCTTGTGTTCTCCTTTTTCCCTAGCTCTTTTCCTCTCCTGTCCTGTGCTCACCTGTTCCCAATCTGCTCATTAGCATTCTCTTTGTCTCAGTCTCCTTTAAATGCTCTCTCTCTTCAGTTCTTGTTTCCTGGATCCTTGTTTAATGATCCCCCTGATGTCTCAATGGTTTCGGGTTTGTTTTTGACTTATTTTCCTGTTTTGATTTTTGTTTTTTTGTAGTGATGGTGAGATGAAGCCTCATGAGGCATTGAACCGTTTGGCCTATTTGCTTCAACGATCCCCACAGTTCATGAGGCTCCATGTGAACATGTCACCACCTACTGGTGTAAGGCAGAACTTCAGTTGGTAATAAAATCTGATTTTTTGCAACGTTTTTCTTTTTTCCCCCTTTTAAGTTCCTTTGAAATTGTTAATTGTTAGTGTGTATAATAACATATTTTTTAAGTTTTTTTAAGTGTAAAATTTCTTAGAACAACAACAGACAGTAAAAGTGTTTGTGCAAATTGGGCAATGATGAGCAAATGAAAGGAAACATAATAGTTTTTCAAAAATTTTTGGTTTTATTTAATCAGAATTGGTGTTTAACCAATCTTTTGGCTAAACCAACCAAATTTGGCAGCATTTTTACCCAATGTATATTTTTACTAGGGTAAACCAATGCAAATTAGTCTAATTAGACAAAATAATTAAGTTTAATTGCAACTTTCAAAAGTCAAAGGCTGGGTTTGAACCATCTACCTCAAGGGCATGAGCCTGTGTCTTACAGATGACACCACTAATATGGACAACAATAGAATGGAGAAAATACTCCTTAATGCTGACATGTTAACACTAACTTTGTCTGGTGGCTTGCTCAGATTTTTGATGATTACATTGTTTATTCTCACCAAAATAGTTTTAAACAACTACATTGGTTGGAAAAACAACCAATCTATTCTTAGAATCCATCCAAACTCTATCATTCCTCCAATCTCCAACATCTTGACTGAATACTGAGGCGTTTTCAATTGCTGTCAAAATTCTTGTGCTTCCCGAACCGCTTCCTAAAGCAGTCACGTGGTTTCACGGTAACAAGGCCTCGGACGTCATTAATTTTGGCCCCTCCTCTAAATGAATCACGCCTCGACACGCGCTTCCGGGAAACGCCCCCTCCATTACTCGACACACGCCTCTAAGCCTCTGCTCTCAAAACATCACTAGTTTTTTAGACTCCTGGTCTCTTGTTTGTTTGGACTTAGTTTTCATTTTGGATTTAGGATTCCTGGTTGCCTATTTGGACTTTGTTTCATATTTGCATTATTGGATTACCTGCCTCTGTGTTTCAGTTTACTATCATTAAATCAACAAGATATTCACCTCTGCCTCTGCTTTGGCGTCAACAATCCACAAACAAATCTTGACAGGACTAAAGTTTTTAAAGTAGTTGAAGATGCATACAAATTCTAATTGGCTGTTTGAGATGGTATTGGATCAAAAAAATAAAGTGCTTATACATATTAATATTCGTGGCAAATGAGTGAACTGAATGACTGCCTGAACTTCGTAGTGCTTGTTATATATCTAATATATCTAATAACACTAAGTGTGATTTTTCTGCTTATGTGTTGTACCTTTTTCTATTATCAGCAGATTGATAAAGGGCATGGTTTACAAATGAATGACGACCGACCCAGAACCTGGGATTACAGGACTACAAAACTTCTAAAGCCGCCTGGAAGACTTCTGGGTTTTGTGCCCTAGAACGTTTTTTTCTTTTTTCAAGAAAAACATACATGTGCTATCCACAATATAATCCCTAATGATCATAACACACCTGTTTATCATAATTAACTGTACTACTCGCATAGCATTACATGTACACTCCTCAAAAGGGAGTTTTTCCTCTCCACTGTCGCTACAAGCATGCTTAGTGTGAGGGATTACCTTTGAATTGATGCAATCAGCTGGTTTTCCTTAGATAGAAAGCTTTGAATCAATTTGACTGTATGATCTGGTGAACTGCAAAGTGCCTTGAGATGACATGTGTTGTGAATTGGCGCTGTATAAATAACCTGATTTGAAAAGTTTAATAAATGGATTTATCGAGGACTTTGACCAAGACTTCAGACTGTTTTTTTTTTTTTTTTTTTTTTTTTTTTTTATTCAGCCTTACACATTGACAACCAAGTTTTAGCAATTTATGTGTTTTGAACATTTATCCTTTAAATATAATGTTATCTTGAACATCATAATTGTGTTGAAAGATTTGTACATTTTTGGTTTACAGATCATCTTGGGTTAAAAAGGTCGGGGATCACTGGACGACACAGAGGATGCAGAAAGGGTTGATGGGATAGTTTTCTCTCCAAAATAAAGAAACATCACAAAATATATATAGCAGACGACAGAAAGTTTTTCAATCCCATACTAATCGGATTTTGGTCATGTGGAAAACAATGTCGGTATGTACTTAGTTATACTCATTTACTCAATGCAGACAAGGGGAGGTTTTCAAGTGGCTACATACATTAATTGTTTAAAGGATTATAACCTCCAACATTTATCATAACTGAGTTTGCATTATTAGTATTTTACCTTTCAGATTTAAATTTTTACATATAGGTGCTTCTAGATAATGTATCCTACTTGTATGCCACAAATTACTTTAATACAATAGTATTTCACTGTTCCGACAAATACAGAGGGCACCCTAGTATCTACGCAAGTTATTTGAAGTTGACCTGAAAAGTGAACTACTGTTGGGATCCTCAGGCTTGCCCACCAGAGGGCGCCGAGGATCCTCTTCTGCTCTTTGTTGTTTTTTCTGTTTAGGACTGGAGTTACTGTTGGGATCTGGAAAATACCATCTGTCTCCAGCAGAGTGCGCCGTGGGTCTCCTAGGGCTGGAGTCTTCCAGCACACCTGAGACGCATCTACTCATCAGGAGACCTTCCCTTTATAAACACCTGCCAGACCTTGCTTCTACGCCGCAGTGTTGATCTTAGTTTGGTTAGCAACCTGAGCCTCTGTAACTGAAAGAATCTCAGGCCCCGTCCACACGAAGACGAACCCTGGCCTAAACGCACAAATTTTTCACCAAACCAGCCTCTCATCCACACGAAGCCGGCATTTCGGGGGTCTGTAAACGATTTTTTTTTTATTCACCCTTCAGAGTGGGAAGATTCTGAAACGCCGTTTTCGCGTTTCCATCTTTACACCCTAACCGCATTTTTTTTTTTACACGCATGCGTCATAGCGTCGCCTCTAAACACGCAAGCGTGACGATAGTATCACAACAACAATGGCGCCTTACTGTGTTGAATGGTTGCTGCTCACGCTACTCACCCTGCTGTCGGGCTTACAGCAGAATCTTCTTCTTCTGGGATATCTCCAGGAAGAACAGAGTAATATAGACGACATAGTTCATCACCTCAATATGACTGAACCACGGAAATGGACCCGCAGGGCAACCAGGCGAAGGTTTTGGGTGAGGCCTGGCAGAACCAGTAGCTGGTGGGACAACTTTGTTAATGGTGTTATTCTGGACGATGAATGGAAGGCAAACTTTCGCATGTCACGACAATCTGTTGCCACGCTCACCGATGAAATACGCCCATACATTGAATGCCAAGAAACGAACATGAGAGCACCTATGGAGCCGCTGAAAAAAGTAGCAATGACCCTTTATTATTTAAGTGACGAGGGCAGGCTCCGAAAGACTGCTAACGCCTTTGGTGTATCGCGGCAGGCTGTTTCCGTCACAGTCAGGCAGACCTGCAGGGCCATCTCCATTCACCTTGGTCCCCGGTACATCAGACTACCCTTTTCAGAGGATGCCGCCACGGAACTGGTCGACGGTTTTCAGCGTGCTCATGGAATGCCCCAATGCCTAGGAGCAGTTGATGGCACACATATTGAAATAAAACAGCCATCGGTCAACTCCACGGACTATATAAATAGAAAAGGTAAACACACCCTAAATGTCCAGGCGGTGTGCGATTATAAGTACCGATTTATGGACGTTGTTATAAAGTGGCCTGGAAGTATGCATGACGCACGCGTGTTTGCTAACTCGGAGGTAAATCAGTTCATGAAAACCGGAAAGATTCCTACTCTCAAACGGCAGATTGTGCATGATGAAGATCCCATACCAATCTTCCTCCTAGGAGATCCAGCATATCCGCTTCTGCCTTATCTGATAAAGGAGTTTTCCAATGGTGGATCATCGCCACAAGAGCAGTACTTTGGGCTCTGTTTATGTAGGGCACGTATGGTTATTGAGTGTGCTTTTGGCCGCCTGAAAGCTAGGTTCGCTGCACTCAGAAGGCCGATGGACATAAATATGACTGACCTGCCTTACATCATATATTCTTGCTTTATCCTTCATAATTTCTGTGAGGCCGCCAAGGAGACCATGGACGAAGTATCCGTGTTAGGAACAATGCAAGGAGAGATGGACTCTCAGCCTCCCACACAGAGCAACAACTACGTCACTGACTGCAATGAGGGGGAAGGAAAGAGAGTGAGAAGAGTTGTCATGAAGTACCTTGATCCTTAAAAACTAGGATAGTGGAAATGCAAAAACACTATATTGCATTGTGACATTTACTACACATCTGCATTTGGGAAAAGATTTGTAAGCTTTTGAACAGCTACTATATTTTCTTTGTATATAACAATTTGTATGACTACCAGTCCTGCCTTCATATTACCTGTGTGCAGTTATTTTTAGCCGGAGTAACAAAAAAATAAAAAATAAAATAAAAAAGGTTGATAACTACAACTTGTTGATTCCACTTCCAGGTTCAAGATATTTACTTTGTATATACGTATTTTCTATGACTACTAGTCCTCCCTTCATATTGCCTGTGTGCAGATATTTTTAGCTAGAGTAAATAAAAAAATAAAAAAAGGTTGATAACTACAAATTGTAGATTCCACTTCCAATTTCAAGATATTTACTTTGTATATAAGTATTTGTATGACTACTAGTCCTGCCTTCATATTGCCTGTGTGCAGATATTTTTAGCTAGAGTAAATAAAAAAATAAAAAAAGGTTGATAACTACAAATTGTAGATTCCACTTCCAATTTCAAGATATTTACTTTGTATATAAGTATTTGTATGACTACTAGTCCTGCCTTCATATTGCCTGTGTGCAGATATTTTTAGCTAGAGTAAAAAAAATAAAAAAATAAATAAAAAAGGTTGATAACTACAACTTGTTGATTCCACTTCCAAGTTTAAGATATTTACGTTGTATATAACTATTTGTATGACTACTAGTCCTGCCTTCATATTGCCTGTGTGCAGATATTTTTAGCTAGAGTATAAAAAAAAGTAAAAAAAGGTTGATAACTACAAATTGTTGATTCCACTTCCAAGTTCAAGATATTTACGTTGTATATAACTATTTGTATGACTACTAGTCCTGCATTCATATTACCTGTGTGCAGATATTTTTAGCTAGAGTAAAAAAAAAAAATAAAAGGTTAACTACAAATTGTAGATTCCAATTCCAAGGTCAAGATATTTGTGAGTGATCTTAAAGTTCCACTTGACTTGTATATTGACAAATATAGATAGATTAAATGTTATGCTTAAATGCAATAAATGAAACAAATGCACACTCCAGTATGGCTTTTATTAAAGTGAAACAGTTGTTAAAGCTGGGTCACATAACCCAGGCTGTGCAAAATCAAAAGTACAAAAAAACGTGGTTCTTTTCCAAGAACTGAACAATTCACCCGAGTGATGTTGTGCTACATTATAACTTTATTAAAGTGAAACAGTTGTTAAAGCTGGGTCACATAACCCAGGCTGTGCAAAATCAAAACAACTAAAATAACTTGGTTCTTTTCAACGAACCAAACAATTCACCTGAGTGATGATGTGCTAAAATTGTAACTGTACAACAGATGAACTTATTCATCTTGAAAAAGTGATCGGGTGTAAGAAAATGAGGGTGTGTTATGTTGTGACGGTTCCTGTGATTGTGGGGGTGTTGGTGTATATCTTCCTGAGTGGAGTGCTGGACTTGGTGTGTGACACTGTTGAATTGGATGGTGGATTTGGGTACAAGTGTGACTGTTGGTGTCCTTGGAAGTGTCCATAAGCAGTGTTGGTATTGTAGTGACGTGCAGGTGGAGGCTGGAGTAACAGCTCCCTCAGTAACGAAAATCCATCTTGTATGGTGTTGGTGATGTTGGCTATGTTTGTGTTAATTTGTTGTATGTTCTCCTGATTGCGCCTTGATGTCTGCTCCATCAGCTCAAGCATTCTTCTTTTAATCTGAATATCTTCCTCTGCGGTCTCTGTAGGAGTCCTCCTCTTCAGCCTGTCCCCTCTGTGGCTATTCAGCTTGGCCTGAAATGAAATAAGAACATTATATAGCGGGCAACAGTTTGGCATATGTTTGTTGATTTAAAAAGGAACATTACATGGTATTTCAAGTCAGTTACATCTATTAGGCGCACCGTACTATGCAGCTGGTATGTGGGGGTCTTTTAGAGAGGTCTATTTAGTCTTTTAGTTTGCTTTGTGAACTATAGCAATCAATAATAGCTATGCACTGATTCTGATAAAGCGTTCAGCTTTTCTTTTTCTTTTACAGAGGTCTATCTGGTATTTTACTTTGCTTTGTGAACTATAGCAACCATTAAGAACTATGCACTGCTTCTGATAAAGCGTTCACAGTTTGTCTTTCCCAGTATAAGTGTTATAGTCCATTTTTTAGGGCTGTGGGTGAATTTTACAATAAGGCATCTGGGGTTTTACACTGTAGCTGCTTCTTACTTATGACTTTTTATTGTTATTTGTTTTTACTTATTTTGCTATACGTTTGTCAAAGTTTGGTTATATCTGGGAATAAAACTTAACATCTGACTCTCAGGGTTACTTTTGTATTAAATTTCTAGTAGGGCGCACCACACCTAAGGGCGCGCCGCACATTTTGAAGGGAAAAAAAGACGTTTATATGCGCCTTTTAGTCGTGAAAATACGGTACTCTAATAAGTACACGTAGGGCGTTGATGAAACCTACCTGCAGCATCTGTCTGCGCTGCTTGATTACTGGAGAAGGCAGCACACTTTCGGCTGAGACTGCAGATTGCGGCGAGTCAGCGGGCTGATCCGAAGTCTCCGACATCTGCGTGGAAGTCTCGTCCAGGTCCGCCGTCTCGACTCCAGATTCAATCGAGCGCGTAGCAGGCGATCCACCCCAGATCTCCTCACAGAGTTCGAAAAACAAGAGCACCACACGCCCAAAGCCACTCTTTCGTCCACTGTCCACCGCTGCTCTGTATTTTCCCCTGATATTTTTTATCTTTGCGGTCAGTTGTGCTTTTGTAATTGCTGTGGAGTCATGAGGAAAGTCACGGTCTGTAGAGTCACGTGGATATTGCTCCTGGAAAGCCGACATTATATCGCTGTATTTTGAATGACAAGTCTCCCAATCGACACTTTCTTGTAGTCTTTTGACTTTATAATCAAGTGTAACTCGAAGCAGCAGTTCCACTTCATCATCTGTCCAAACAAGACTTGTACATGATCGCCCAGTCATACTTGCCGCCATCTTTTCTATTCGGTTCTTCTTCTAGGGGTTTTCCGGTTTGGTTGTTGTAGTGCGCATGCCCAACATTTCGTCGCCTATTCTTGCTTTGGCATCACAGCGCCACTTACAGGCCTGGCATACATTTTGCAGCATTTTCATGCATTCGTGTGGACGCTCACATTTATTTTACGTCTCCGTCTTTACGGCAAACGTTTTGGAAAATATCAGCGTTTCGTGTTCGTTTTGACTTCGTGTGGACAGGGCCTTAGTTGTCTCTAGTGAGAGATCAGATTCTAATTCTCCTTTGTTTGTGCCTCACAGGAAACCTGTCGCTAGTCTGAAGCTCTGGGTGAGCTGCCTCACAGGAAACCTGTCTCTGGCCTGCAGCTCTGGGAGAGCTGCCTCACAGGAAACCTGTCTCTAGTCTGAAGCTCTGGGTGAGCTGCCTCACAGGAAACCTGTCTCTAGCCTGAAGCTCTGGGAGAGCTGCCTCACAGGAAACCTGTCTCTAGCCTGAAGCTCTGGGTGAGCTTAACCTGCCAATCAGCCCTGGTGAGCCAACCTGAAGATTCCTATGTGGAATTTACCTGAAGTTTCCTATGTGGAATGTACCTGAAGATTCCTATGTGGGATCAACCTGAAGAATCCTATGTGGATATCCCCTGCTGTTCTCTGTGAAGAGCTGGAGGCTCTGATCATGGTCTGCTATGCTAGGTCTGAAGCTAGACGCTTTAGCTCCTCGTGAACTCTGCTAACCAACAGTCTCTGGTCCCAGTCAAGACTTCAGTTAACCAGCCCGAACCAGTTCCAGATCCAGTTTATGATCTTGTGTTTTGTGCCAACTCAATAAACTCTGTTATACTTTTACCCAGCCTCCGTTTTGTTCTGCATATTGGCTTGCATCTTTGACCCATCATGACAACTACTTAGTAGCACACATGGTTCAGATAAAAAAGGTTAGTCATATTTTAAAAGAGAAAGATTTAGACATGTTATTCCAACCAAAAACACACAAATATTGTACATACACAGATTTCCATGAGCACATGTGAACACAAGACACACAGACAAATGAGGCAACATTACGCATTCTGTACTCACATACACACAAACCAGTACACCCCAGAAAGGAAGAAGTATAATTAGGGTTTTTGGAGGACAAGTTGTCTGATTGTATGAAGATTTTTGATCATTTTTTTATTCTTTTTCAAAAGAGAATTACCCACTATAACAATAGCCCAACAGATTTGAGTATGCATGTGTTTCGTGAGTTTATAGGGCTTCTTCAGACGGAAAATATTCTTAGTAGCAGGTGTGAGTGGCCCCAGGCTCGCCCTGAAGAGCCCAGGGCCTACAAGGAGACAACCAGAGACCTAGACATCTAAAGGAACCCAAGACAACAGGAACAAAAAGTGGGTAGACATTTGAAAAGCCACACCTACCCGAAAAAGGACAGTTGAGAGACCAGAGAAGCCTTACCCCAGAGGTTACGGTGCTGAGGCCCTGTAGGGCAGCAAGTCATGCCCAAGGTACACCCGGAAGAGCCACCCAGAGGTGGCAGTAGCGTACCATAGCCCAAATGAGCCCCCTATAATGTTAGGTAACGCCTAATCCCAGGCAACCATTTCCCCCTCCTCACCTGAAAGGAAATCTAAACCCACCTCTGCATTCGGCTAAATTTCCCAACACAAAAGAGAAACAGTTGAGTTGAAATGTAGACACCTCCCCCTCCTTACTGACAGTGTGTGCTCAGAGAGAGTGTGTGCTCTAAAGTTGAGGCAGAGGCTATTTCAAGATTAATATAATCCAACAGAATGTCTCTACACTGGGTATATTAAGACTTTTTGTTTTTCCAGTTCATGAGGATAGTTTTCTTTACGATACATAAAGCAATGAAGATGACATTGAGGAAATCTCTGTCAAAGGTGACATCATCTTGGTTTTCCAGTAAGCAAACATCTCAGACACACTGACAAATCATCACATACCAGACACAAGAACCCCTGTACAGGTGTGCATGGACATAGTTGTATGGTGTATTACTTGAGCATTGTAGGAAGTTATCAGATGCAAAACCCATCTTAAACATCTGCCTGCATAGTGTACTCTATCAAGGACTTGGTATTTCATAAGTTATATAAAAAAAAAAAGGATTTCAAGTCATGTCAAAGGTTCTCAAGCAAGTCTGAGAAGAACAATTTCGATCAACACTATCTGATAGAGGAGTCTCCCATTTTTCAACGGGAAAATATATTGGGCCTCATGCAAGAAGCATTCTTACAAGGAAATTTCTTAAATCATTCGTATGATTAATTTAGGTGAAAATATTGCATTCATAATTTTTGACATAGGAGTCTTGTGCATACAGTCAGCTGTTGTCCACACCTAGTTTTTCACTAAATGACTACATTTGTTATTATTTTGAAGCAGTTGTCTATCTAACTAGGCTACATCATTTGCTATGTTTTAGCATGGAGAACCTGGTAATACAAGCCAAAGCAGTATGACGTTTTAAAGGTTTTATCGACAAGGTTGAGTATATTATAGACAAGGGGAAGGCAGGCAGGTCCTGGACAAGAGAAGGACTTGGACCAACAGTGCATGCAGAAGCAGACTTCAACTGCAATAGCTGTCAGCTCCAGGCTAGACTTACGTTGGGAGAGAGGATAAGCAGAGTTTAGCTCTGCAGAAAAGATCTGCGGTGGGTAGAACTTGCAGTAATGGTAAGGCGCAGCTTGGAGTAGTCCTGATAGTCAGACGTGGCCTGCAACAATCCTGAACGCTAGACATGGTCTGCAGCAGCCCTGAAGGTCAGACGTGGCTTGCAGCAGTCCTGAAGGTCAGAAGCAGCTGCCCAGAAGGTAAGACATGTCTTGCAGTTGCTGAGAAGATCAGACATGGCTTCCAGATGCCCAAAAGGTCAGACATGGCCTGCAGCTATCCAGAAGGACAGATGTACCTTGCACCTACTCACAGTGGGCAGCACTGCTACCTGGCAGCAAGAAGCCCAGGTTCATTCTGCATGGAGTTTGCATGTTCTCCCTAAACATGTGTGGTACTCTTCCTCCCACAGTCCAAAAACATGACTTTTAGCTTAATTGTTTTCTCTAAATTCTCCTTAGGTGTGAATGGTTGTTTGTCCTGATTCTCTCTGTGTTGGCCTACGATGGACTGGCGACCTGTCCAGGGTGTACCCCGCCTCTCACCCGTAGACAGCTGTAGATAGGCACCAGCACCCCTTGCGACACCACTTGGGATAAAGCGTGTCAGAAAGTGGATGGATGGATCCTGCTTATATTTAACCAGCTCTCTAACCAGTCATCAGGGCCAGATTATTCCCTCGAGCAAGTGGGGAGAGTGTGTCCAGTGTTTCTCAGTGTTTCTGATTTCCTGTTCCCATCTGAACGGTTTTAACCTGCCTGTTTATACAGTAATCACGCAGGATTATTCAACAGCCAGCAATGAGAGCGTTTCAGCATTACCTTAGTGTTTCTGATTTCCTTGTCAGCCTTTCAGCTTCTGAGCCCGCTTGTTCCTGTCTGATCTGTTTTTAACAGTGATCTGTTTGCCTGACCTGTTTTTGGGCTCTTTCTGGATTCTGCCTGTTTGCTGAACTTGGAGTTTCTACCTGGCACTGACCTGGATTTCCCTCTGGAATCTTCTTGGATTATCCTGCTCTCCTTTGTCTGCCCAGATTTGGTCTCCTGTTTATTCTTCGTACTCCGGGGCTACAGCCTCTTGGATTCTATTAGCGGTGCCGGTCAAATCTTGTTGTCAGTCGACCGGCTTGAATCAACCTTGTTCTCTGGGCACCAACTAAACTAACTCTAGGTTAGTAACTCACACGTTCATAATCTTCCCCCACCAGATTTACATGGCCACTAACCTGTGTTTCCTTTCTGGAGAGGTTCCTGCCCTTGAAGCCTTAGCTGCAGCCTTTTTAATAAACCCTTTTAAAAAAATTGTACTGTCTGCCTTGAATACTGGGTACCCTGTTCTGAGGCATGACAAATTCATGCAAACTTTTTACAATCAATTTTCATATCAGTTGCGAAACGTTGAATTATATAATCTAAAATCCATTTTTAACTAATGCAGTTCCACTGTCTTTACAGCCACCATTAACTACTGTTACTTTATCAATGTGTTGTTTGATGTTAATACGGTATATTATAAGCATTACTTTAAGCAATAGTAGTTTATTAGATAATATCTTGCTTAACTACAGTTCTGTAATTGAGGCAACAACAAAAAAAATCTTAATACCAGAAACCCAAGCAGAGATCAGACAGGATCTCAAAGTCTCAGATTCAGAATTAAATATTTCTTGAAATTTTAATCCACATCCAGCCCTAGCTATGGCTATACTGATATTGCTCTAAGAAAAATATATGTGAATGGATCAGCCTTTATAAAGATAATGCACCTAAATAAATGCGCACCTGTTTTTGATATGCAAACATATCCCAGAATAGACTTTAAGCATGGTCCTTGATCGAATGCTGCCTACATTTTTTATTTGTTTGTTTGATTATTGTTTTGCTGGTTGGTTTCCTATAAGAAAATATATCCCTGAGGTGTGTTGACTATTGAAGTAAATTAGTGATGGATCATGCTTATAAACATCAACTGAGACCTAACGCTTTGTATGGATTTAAAACAGCTGGCTCCAGTTCCAGACATTTACCAGGGGAGGCCAGGGAGAGGCTGCTGTTTTTCATTTAATAAGTTTAACTGCCAAAGGAATTAGTATTTTTGGCCATAAAATAAGATAAATAAACCATCCACTTGAAACAAGATCATGTGAATCATCTTATTTCGTTATGAAATTGTCTCACTTACCTAAATCTCAAAGGTAAAATTTTTAAATTTTCAAGAAAAATTCACTTATATTTACATTTTTGTAGTTTTGTAATGTAAACATTCAGTATAGGGGCCATAACAGGAGCTGGGACCATTTCGCCAGACATGCTAGCTTCTACTAGCCTCTGCTGTCTAGAATCACCTATGGATGGCTCCCCCAGTGATAGCAATGTTTTTTCCTTTCACAGCTCAATTCTATTGCAGGGGCCCTACCCTACATTTTGGCTCAATCCAAATATCTCAAATTGTAACTCCGAACCTTCCTTTCCTACCTACTATCCCCTTACCTTTTGCAAAGTCAACAGTAAAAATACTCTCCAAGGTCAGGAAGGAGCTCCAGACTACTGTGTTGAATCCAGACAGCCTTAGCTATACATCATTAAGCTTCAGGCATGTCCCGGATGACTCTGGTCAAACTGGGACTGCAATCCTCTGGAAAAGAACTACAAAAATGTTATAAAAGTATAGGTAATAGCTAAAGCTCTCACTTATAAGAAGGTGAGTACATTATGATGTGTCACACAGAATACACATGGAGAAATTATGTATTTTTGTTAAACTCTTTGAGTTTACATTCGGTGAAACAAATGATTGTTGGCTCCAACTGGCAGCTAGAAACGTCAGAAGATCTTTTTGCAAAATGTAATAGCACTAGAAAGTATCATACTCTTATTTTTCCAAGAAAACAAATTTGCTTAAGATACAGGTTTAATGTTCTGCAGTGGCAATCGTTAAGCTTTGGTCTGATCTGTTTGTCATTGGTTGCAGACCCAGTTTTACAGTCTGACCCTCCCATATGCATGCACAACGGAAACAGTTCATGGAATGAAAATCCCACAAGGCTGATGCACTCTTGCAGGTGCATTACATTTAACTCCTTGCCAATGACTTTTGAAAAAGCAAACTGCAGATGTTAAAGCTCAGTGCAAAATATTATTAGTCTGGCCTGTTTAAAAGTAGGCTAAAGGATTTCTATAACTGAGAATCTACACAGTTTAAGAGCATTCTACCTCAACCAACATGTAAAGCAGTGGTCCCCAACCACCGGGCCGCGGACCGGTACCGGTCCGTCGGTCATTTGGTACCGGGCCGCACAATATAAAAAATTGTGGTATTCTCTCCCAATTACATCAGTCGGTGCATCTGTGCCTCTTGACATTGGTTAATTCAGTTCAAGACTCATCCTATCTATAACATCCTATCTTTGTGAAGCGGGATTTTCTGGTTAGTTTTCTGAGAATCAATCTGTGGTTGACCTGAACTTTCAAGTCTCTGTAGACATCTAACAGCATGCTTTGGGTTAATATTTGTCATCTTTTCTTCTTTTTTTTTGTCTGCTGTCTGTTTTTCTTACTCGACCAGTGTGTTGGATCTGGTTGCCAAGCAGCGTCAGGGTCAGATTTACTCTACAAAAAAAAAATGTTTGAGTTATTACCAAAATAGTACTACAATAATCTGAAGGAATTACATTGCAAGCCAGATAATGAGGAAGATCAAGAATATTGCAGGCAGACAATATTGGAGTTGACATAGAAATTCCAATGGTGCTTATGCTTACATGCAAAATATAGGAGCATCTCCCTTTTCCCAAAACTACTTGTGCTTTAATGCTATTCTTCTACCTCAATATTTCCGTCATCAATTCACATATTCTTATATCTTCCAAATCACTAGACTATATCCTTCTTTAGTTCCTATCCCTTATCAGCCACTCTGTACCAAGGTCATATATGTAGCAGCTCCTGTTCCTTTCTATTTCACAAAGATATGATAGGTACATTCCAGTTACACATAAATGGTGACACGTCATCAATGCATAGACTAAATGTAACACTTGCATCTTCAAAAGCAGCCGCATCTCCAAAGTTATTAATGACAACAGAACAAATATAAACCACACAAAAAAATAAAGAGGCTAACTGACACATCTATGTATGTTGTGTATATGTGTAAAATTATAACATTTATACGGAGCGTATGTAGAAACTAAACATATGTTGACTATAGTGAGGCGTTCACAGTACTTACTGTATGTATTTTTGGGACAAAAATGATAACATTGTACGTATTCTATTAGTGGTGATTTAAAAACTTGATTGTGTTGTATAACAATAAATCCTGTGTGTTTAAAGCAGATTAGTTGCATTAAGGAAAGTCAAATGGAAACATTCAGTCTCTTTCTGTGGGTGTGGCATTCGCCTTACTGCTCCTAGTCCCATGGTTCCTGCATTCACACTTCTGTTAATTAATAGCCCCTGTGATGACGATGCTTGCATCACGTACAGCACAGCAAATGTTAATGCACCCGTCGACCTGCACAGTATAACACCTGCATAAGTCACTGCAGTGTTTACATAAGCTAAGTTTATCTGTCTTTTATGTTCTTTAGCTTGTCTGACCAAAATGATAAGCTCACCTCTAATACGTGTGCAAAGAATTGGAGATAATGTTTGGATGTTTTTTTGTCATTTTTTGTTTGTTTGTTTGTTTTAATGAAACTTCTGTGCAATATATGACTCCATTAGAAAATCTGTGCATTTTCCATTTTAAATAGTTCCACATTTGCAGAGGTGAGAATATGGATTGTGTTCTTTTAAAAAATAAACAAAAGCATACCAGTACTCTCCGTTTATACCTGTGCTATACAGGGTTGGTTTGTGATGGACACTCAACTTCAGAGCAGCAGCAGAACTACCGGTAGACTTATTTTGTTGGGGAATCCGATGGAATGTAAAGCTATCTCAGGGGGGGTCCATAGGCTATTATATTTCATTTGTTTCTCAGTTATTTGCAACTGGACTTTCTAAGAGTGAACATATATTTGAGGACATGTCAGGCACAAGGGGATAAGACGTCTATATAAGTTTCATTTTTAAAATTCAAATGCTATACACATACAAGCCATTTATCATTTTACTATATAACTGCTTTTGGTGCAAAATTTCCTCTTACTTATTGCAACTTATTTTTAATTACAAGTTTAAAGCCAACAGCTCCTCTTTACCTTTAAGAAATTGAGCAGAAGGATTTTTTCTTCTGCTAAAAAAAAAAGTAATTATTAAAATAATTAAATTAGCATCTAAGTTACTTAACTGTTATTTGATCCCATTTTATAATTTTTTTTTGTTGCATGGGGGGGTCAGATTTCAGAGGAGTACAGTGCCCCCCTCTGCCCCCCTTAACTCTGCCGCTGCGTCAGAGTCAGCACTTCCTGCAGCCACTTCCTGTTATTACCTCATTCATTTGACCTCTTGTAGGATCAGCCATATTATGTTTGTAGCAGAGTGATTTTTGACAAATAATGTTGCTGCCATCCTGCAGCAGTTTTACCAGGATGACGACTAGCAGGAAATGGCAGGTTATTGTGGCTGAGTACCATTTATCGTTACACTGCTAAGCCAACATTTATTAAATTAATAAATTACCAATATGTCCCTTCTTAATACTTCAATCATTCAATAAGCTAAAATAAAAACAAGTAGTTTTATTGTTAGCCAGTGCTAAGCAGTAGAATAGGCTCTTTGGCATTGACATGGAGGACTGGGCTGATTTTTCAGGGCTACAATCCACATAAATGCACTTTCCCCCACAAATGTGGTACAATTCAGGCTTTCCTTTATCGTCAACTGATTGCAAATAAGCACTTCAAACAAACTAACAAAGAAATAATAAATCAAATACAAATTCCCTATTGTGTGCCAAGTTTATTTATAAAAATAGTTATAGTCATAAAATCTCACTATAAGGATGATATTGTATCAATAAAAGCTGAGTGCATCTTCATAATGTACCCTTTGAACCTTGGAAATCAGCCAAAGATTGTTTTTTTTTTTCTTTAAAAGGAAAGAAAACGTCAGAAGTCTCCTGTGGGAGGGGTGTTGTGAAACTCCTGTGAGCACAGTCCAACCAAGCATGTGCTGTGGAAGCCTGTGCAAAGCTCCATATCTCAACGATTGTATCAGCTCCCTACTGAAACCTCCTCTGGCTTCCAAACCGCTCCTAATAGACTGATTAAATAATGTCAGAAAGCCACATGGATGCAAATCCTACCACATAAAGGATGACATCAATCCTAGTTAAACTAGCTGCTGTGTAGTAGAGTTAATCTTTTCATTAAAAATAAAATGTTTAACTTAACTTTTCTTGCATTATTCACCACTTTGATTAATGTAAGAATTAGGCAACCTTTATGCAAAAATAAAGGGAAAGTATATTTTAATTAGGGTTGCAATATTGGCCAGTTCTTGCCTTCAATTGGGTTTTAATTGATTTTATAAACATTTTAATCAAACCTGAATTAAATTAAGCCCCTAGTTTGGTAACTTAATATGGGACAGTTCTTTTTTTTTTAAAGCTATGTTGGCAACCCTAATTAACATTTTGTAAGCTACTTAACTTTATAATTTGCAAAACATCATATGCAGACAAACGTCTTGCCGAACCGAACCGGTTCCTGGTCCATTTTCAGATTTCTTTGAAGCTCTGGACGCCAGAAGCCCAGTTGATAAGAATTCGCTGGCGTAAGGGATTGTGTTTCAGAAATGCTTTTTCTCAAGTCACGTTGCCTCTCAACATGAAAAGCGACCAATAACCTCAGAGACACGTAGTCTCTGCTCCTATAAAGTTGGTTGCGAGCTGAAGCGTCTCCCTTCAAAAAAGCAAGCAGAGAGAGACAGTTGGATCCAGCGCTGCCTTTGGTTTCGCTCATTATTTCTGCGGACAATGCTGCGAGTCAGATGTTTGAGAGGAGGTAGCAGGGGGGCTGAAGCTGCCCATCTGATCGGAGCCATGGTTGGTATTATGTTGTTATTATTACTTTTTTTTTTTTTTTTAGAAAAACAATCATGCATTTATTTTCTTTCACTGATCTTTTGTTTCAACGAAAACACATTTTTTAAGTGAATAAAGACGTTTTCTTCGACTTTTTCTTCATTACATCTTATCTGATTTGGTTAAAATCAGCTGAATTGATTTATTGATGTATTGGTTGGTCTTTTTAAAGATTGAGACACCGAAATGCAAAAAATAAAACATTTAGTAAAACAAAAATACCTAGATCAACCCCCCAAAAAATGAGGGAAAAGCAGTGGAAGTTTTTTTTTCCTGGATTTCATTTAGCCTCTGAGTGGCAGTGAACAGCTGTTTGGCAGCAGATGGCTCTCAAACTCAGTGACTCTGGAGCTGGTCTGGAGCCAGAGGGGCCAATATTGTAACCTCTATGTTTGAGAGAAAACTATCCTTAACATCTGTTTTTTTTTTGGCAGCCTGGGGGTAGTTAACATTTTTCGTTGACATAGTTGGATTTAAGCCATGTTGTTCTTTCAAATTGCACTAATAAAAACAACACAAAAAAAGAAAAAAAAAAAGAAAAGAAATTGGCCAAATTTCTCTTAAAATGAAATAGTTATTGTAGTTTAGGACTTTTGCAAAAGCTATTTCTCCACATTAATCCCTAAACTGATGCCTTCTCTTCCTACTCAGCTTGGCCGGTCAGTTGCTGGCTGGGTGCAGAGGACCTTCCAGAGCACTTCAAGTGCAGCAGCTGCACAACAGCATGCAGCTGAAGAGGAACCTGTTACTGAGCCCATTCAGCAGGAGTGCCCCGTCTGCAGCTACAATGAATGGGACCCTCTTGAGGAGGTGATCGTTGGGCGAGCTGAAAATGCCCAGGTGCCTCCCTTTACTGTGGAAGTGAAAGTAAGCATCTCGTCTCACTCACCTGGAAAATGCTACCTGTATAAATGTGACTTTGATGTTAAATGTCCCATCTATCTGATCAGGCCAACACATATGAGAAGTACTGGCCCTTCTATCAGAAGCATGGGGGCCAGTCTTTTCCTGCGGACCACTTGAAAAAAGCTGTTGCTGAGATTGAAGAAATGTGCAATATCCTGCGTCACGAAGGAGTTGTTGTGCAGAGGCCAGAACCCATCGACTGGTCCGTCGAATATAAAACTCCAGATTTCACATCAACAGGTGAGAAACTTTGGTTGGTAATATTGCAGGACGCTGACTGGAAGTTTTTCAACAGAAAATAAGTTGCATTGTTGAAAATGTTGCAGGAATGTATGCTGCGATGCCGAGAGACATCCTCATGGTTGTGGGAAACGAAATCATAGAAGCTCCCATGGCCTGGAGGGCTCGATTCTTTGAGTACCGTGCCTACAGGCCTTTAATTAAGGAGTACTTTAGAAAAGGTGCAAAATGGACCACAGCTCCTAAACCCACCATGGCTGATGAGCTATATGATCAGGTGAGCCTCTTAAAACAGATGCAGTTAAGGCTGCTACCTCTGGTGTAAATCATATTTTTCCTCCTGCCAACTAGGACTACCCCATCCGCACTGTGGAGGACAGACACAAGCTGGCTGCCCAGGGGAAGTTTGTGACCACAGAGCACGAGCCGTGCTTCGACGCTGCTGATTTCATTCGAGCTGGGAGGGATCTTTTCGTTCAGAGGAGTCAGGTATGAAGCAGCCCTGATTAATGGCAGAAGGAATGTCAATACACTGCCAGGGTATAAGTCTCTTTCTACAAACTGCTCCATCTCAGGTTACAAATTACATGGGAATCGAGTGGATGAGACGCCATCTGGCCCCAGATTACAAAGTGCACATCATCTCGTTTAAAGACCCTAACCCCATGCACATCGATGCCACTTTTAACATCATCGGACCTGGTTTGGTGTTGTCAAACCCTGACCGCCCATGTCGCCAGGTATTTCCAGACAGCGTCCTCTGCTGCCCTCTTGTGGATGTAAAAATATACTGGTCATAACTATGTTCACATTTGCTGTGTGCTTTTTTTCTGTACCCCAGATTGAGATGTTCAAGAAAGCTGGCTGGACTGTTGTGAAACCCCCAACACCTTTGATTCCTGATGGTTTGTACTTCAACCAACAACTTGTTTTGAATGAAAAAGGCAATAGAATATTTTCACAGGCAATAGGACAAAAAAATGCAACAATTTCTTTTGCAGACCACCCACTGTGGATGTCCTCCAAATGGCTGTCCATGAATGTCCTGATGCTGGATGAGAAGCGGGTCATGGTTGACGCCAATGAAGAAACTATTCATAAAATGTTTGAAAACCTCGGTGAGTGGAAAACTTTTAAGTTATTCCTTTTTATTTTGACAGCTTTAAATCTTTAAGAACATATCCGGTTCATGCTTTGAACAGGTATCAAGACCATAAAGGTGAACATTCGCCATGCCAACTCACTTGGTGGTGGCTTCCACTGCTGGACAACCGATGTCCGCCGCCGTGGTACCCTGGAGTCCTACTTCCACTAGCCTTGCCAGAAATAGGCAATTTTTATTGAGCTTTGAAAACTAAAGCCTCAATCTGGAAGCTTCTTAGATAATTGAACACCACTAAAAGGGTGGAGCTTACATCGAATAAAGTCTGCTGCTTGCAAATTTCAAACCCCTTCTTAGGAAATATGTGCAAATCAGTGTGAAGCAAATGACAGTAGGGTGGCTTTTCCTGTTGCCACCAAAAGCTCTTCTCCATATTGTGTCTTTGTGGCTTAATTGAACATTTTGTGAATGGTTTTGATCTGCTGGACATTAGAATGTCTTCATAAACAGCTTTGTTAAGCGATAAAAAGCACATATAATCTGAAAAGCAGGAGTCTTCTGTTTATTTCACCATGGAATCTCAATATTAACTGCATTTCTGGCCTGGCAGTGGTGAAGCTTATCCAACTAAATGCTAATGCTTTGAGGACAAGGTACAATTTGGTATGCAGATGTCACTTAACTTGGGTACAAGAGGTTAGAAGCTACCTCTACTTTAACACTCAGGGTGCTTTTCTTTATTCTGACTTCTAATTCTTTGTGTTCTTGATACAATGGAAGATCCCATGTAGTTGTAGGTATCCTGAGCATATGTCTCCTAATTTACTCATATTAATATGATATCCTAAGCAGGCACAAAGAACCAAACTGCATAATGAAAAGCACCCTAAGAAATCACAGTTCTACCTTTTTCCATTATTTTTATATAAAGAAATCAAAACATTTAGGTAGGCCATTTTAATTTATCACATATATGCAGCATCGATTACACTGGAAAATGCTTATATTTTTTGCACCTCTTTTTATTGGATTTCCCAGCCATAATTGTTTTTATATATTTCCTAAAAAAGTTCATATCAGATTTTATACCTTTTTCCTCTGCTGTTTTCTCCTGTTGCGTATCTGGGCCAGTTACAATCCATGCTGTCAGTCTTTCCAACCACCTTTTTTATATGTTAACAAAGTGAAAATACATTATAGTGGTTATTTCATTTCATGTTTTATGATTCCTGTGCTGCTTTTAAAGTTGCATGTCTTAAACTGCTTACTATATTTCCGAGGAGATGAGTTTGAGGTAAAATTTGGTTCAACAAAGCGATAGGAGTGATGTTTTGTAATATGTCAGGTCATTTAAATGTAATTAAAAAGACTCGACTTTCATTGCTTTGGCTGTGGATTTTTTTTCTTTTTCTTTTGCTACAAAAATTAATTCACTTTTGGAAAAGTGGAAATAAAAGATGATTACCGTCATGTTCTCATAGTGAACATTTAGTATATTATTACTGGAAGATTTTGTTATTTTTAAGTCTTTCTGTTTTTAAGCTTTTTTCAGCTTAATGTTTTATGAACATTTCCTTAGTTTTATTATCACTGCCTTTGAAACTACATGCCTTACAGGTCAAATGTTTTTAATCTTCTGCTTATTTTTTGCATAGTCTTAGTCACATTTACTGACCATGTTTGTCACACGCACACATTTTCACTCTGCTAACAAATCTATGGACAACCACTTTATAATATTTGATTTTATGCTGAGGGTGGTTGTTTAAAATGAACAAAAAGGAAACTGATAGGATTTTGTACTTTTAAGAACATTATATAACTGTAATTTTACACACCATATCCTCAGTAAAAAATTCAATATCAAACTTATATGACAAATCATTAGTGAGACTAAACTATTGCGAGAAACAGAAAATAGGCTACACATGGGGCCTAAATGTGAGAAATAGAAAGAAGAGAAAGAAATACAGCCGTATCTGATTATAAAGTTAACAGGAAATGCAAAAGTTTAGTAAAAGCAGGTGACAGTTGACTGTTAAATTAATTCTAACTATTGTATTTTGCCAAATATTGAAAAGTATTTCATAAAAAGACGTATTTTCCATTATTGTTGGGGAATTGGCAACATGATCAATGTTGATATAACATATTTCTTTGCTAAAGGGAAAATGCCTCTCTTCTAGCATCCTCTAAGACGGAGGTCTTCAACAGGGGGTCCGTGACCCCTAGGGGGTCGCGAAAATTATGGTTGATTAGACTTTTTCTATAATTCCCCCATTCTATAATTCCCCCATTCTATAAATGTTCAATTTACCTACAGAAAAAAACATGAATATAAAGATATTTTTCATATATTTAAAGTATGTCTCTTAAACAGAGTAAGACAATATAAAAAAGAAATACAAAAATAAAAACATATGATTAAGTTTTATGCCACATACCATAGATAGTTCTCACATAGTTCTTGAGAAAGTCATTAAATGTAATGAAATACATGTAAGGGTGACCACTTTCAAGAGTTAATGATATAAGCCTTTTATCATGTGCAATATCTGAAGCATAAATTGAAGACTTATTTTCCCTCTGGGTTCTCTGTCCGATATCCGTTCTGATTACCCCCTCCCCTGAAACTTTGCACAAGATCAGCAAGTTTAAGGTGTAGCCTTTAAAAAGGATTTTGGTAATGACAGGCAAAGGACTTTTCAGGAGTTTTCCAACAGTGACTGAGGTGGACAGGAGAGTGGGTTTGTTGCTGATTTTTAGATTTTTGGAATGAAAGAGTGGTCAAAGTTGGAAAACTGAAAGTTGGGTAAGTGAGCAATGGGACATCAAGGAATGTAGTTTCAAGTTGGTGGCCAGGTGAGCAGTAAGAATGTTTAGAGAGGGAATCCTGGGGAAATTTCTTCAAACAAGGGGGGGGGGGGGGGGGGGCAAGAAAGGGACAAGAAAGCAGACAATTCAAGAACCGAACAACAGAAGAAGATTGAACGTTCGGTTAAGGAGAGACAGTGAAGGTAAGTGTGAGGACCTTGAGGAGCATAAAGATGCTAAAAGTAGAGCCTGTTCACGAATCATGACAAAAACAATCTGGCATCTTCCCTGGGGAACATCCTCCTCTTGAAGTTCTTCATAGAGTTAATGAACTCCACCTGGAAGACACACCTGCTAGTCTTTCCCTATCATGAGTAGTGGCATTATAGTTTTGGCTTAAGTTAAGAAATATGAATATTTTTAGATCAGTTGTTTTAAATCTTAGGATGCAATCATAAAAGAAAGAAGCATCAATCAGTGACTATATTCAGTTTGATTCCAATTTGGGTTATTTATATAGTGGCAGTTCACAACACGTCATCTCGAGGCACTTTCAAGAGACAATTCAATGAAATCATTCAGTCAGATTGGTTTAAGGTTCTCTATCGATTGCAACGACCCATTGACATTGCAGGATAAACTCCTCCTGGATGAGCATGAGCAGTACGTGTTATACCTGTTGTGAGATCATTTAAAGGAATTCACTTTCCTACTGGGGAAACATATGCAATATATTTTATAGCCATGCGTGCCATGTGAAACGGTAGTTAAAAAGATCAAACAGAAGAATGAATATCTAAGAGTTACCCTTTCAACAGAAGCTTGATGAAAGAAAGGGCTGATGAACTGGGATTTACTAATTTACGACATTCTCACTACATCATGCAATTAAACAATTGGATCATGTATATTTAAAATACAATAAATACTGAGCAATCAAAACTCAGTGCAATCAAAAATAAAGGGGATGAAGAACAAGCATAAACCCAGTAAATGAAGGGCAGACAGTAGCATTGTTAATCAGAAAAAAACAGCATTAAATTAACCGTTAATGCAAAGAACCAGAGAAGTGAAAAAAATGGTCTGAGAACCATCACAGATGAACTAAAATCAAAGTTCAGATCACTTTGCTTAGAGTGCATAAAGTAAAATATGTGGATGTCAACACTTGTTATATTGAACAACTCTGTTTTAGGAGCCAAAAACTCTTTTATCATTGAGCACATACCGGGACAAGATAAGAGCAGAGAGAAAACACACAACGCAGCTTTCTTTACAGTCCTCTGCAGGGGGAGCAGCAAATGTCCCCAAGCAGTATTGCTTCATCAGTTTCTGGGAGGGGGAGTACCGTTTTTTTGGTGTGAGAACGCTTCCAGTCACAGAGAGAATCTTTATTGGTTGCAGGGTCCACCCATGTTGCTGCACACCTGAGAACGTTTCTCAATCAAGATGACTAACATGTATATAAGAAGGTGAAGAACCACCTCTCTATGCTGGGAGATTGCAACTGATGACTTTTTTTTTTCTATTTCAGTGTTTGTATTTTGTCTTTCATTTTATTTCATTATAAATTTGAATCAAGTTTTCATTTAATTTTATAATTTTAAAGTAGCATTGGTTATCTCAACATTTACTTTTTTGTTTGGGACCTCCAGCATGTGCAGAAAGGCTACCAGGACATCCGCACATGCAGGTGGGCCTACAGGCTGTGAGTCTTAAGATGACTTGATGAGATGAATGGAGTCTGGTGTGCTACGTCTTGAATGGAAAATAAAACAGGGTACTAGTCTGACAGCCCTGCTTTACTAAGTGCATCCTGTTGATTGACTCCACAGACAGGCTACGTTCACACTGCAGCCTGAAGTGACCCAAATCCTTTTTTTTTTGTGTATATGCGACCTTTATCTGACCTTTTCTTGGCTGTCTGAACAACACCGATCCGATTTTTTCCAATGCGACCCAGACCACTTGGCTATGTGGTCCTGAATCCAATACGAATCTGATCTTTTCAAAAGCGACCTGTGTGTGAACGGCCAGGTCGCACTCATCCAACCTGAACTCAATTAATACCAGAGAAAAGGTCACTATTCTGGGTCTTGCTATGAAGAAGGGGAAAGACAAACAACAACCATGCAGGGACGATAATGAGGAGAGCAGTATTTATGTTTAACCATCTTGAAAAGATTGTGTTTTTATGGTTGAGAAAGATCGCTAGATGCACTCCGACACGTCCATCCATGTTTACTTCTGTAAACACAGAGCATGCTGGCCTGTAATGTCATTGTGTCCTCTACTTTCTGTCATGATGGGTTCTCAAATGGAGACCCAGTTATGCAGAACACCACTGACACAAGGATGGAAAGTTTAACAGTTTATTAAAGCACTACACACAGAATGTACTGATTCAGGTTCTGGTCTGGGTTCAGGTTCACCGGAGTCTGCGAGGGAGACAGCACAGTTAGTGACTGCTGACAGGGTTGATTTCCACAGGTTCACTGATTGTACCTTGTGGGTTCTTGAGGTTTACTTTGGGAGAGTCACTGTTGGTTCTGGAGAAGAGTTTATCAGCTGAGTCCGTTTGCTGCTTCAGCGTCTCACGTCTAGCTTGAGCAGACCTTGGCTTAGGTTTCCCAGCTCTAGTCCAGAGCTGCTTGGAGGTTCTCTGAGAATCTTCAGGGTTTGGCTCTGAGGGTCGGCTCGGCAGGTTAGCTCTTCCTGAGCTTTCACAGAGGAGGCACGGGTTTCCTAGAAACACAGAGACAGTGGTTAGAATCCAACCTGGATTCAAAGTCATGGAAATACGACAAAGATCTAGGCTTTAGCGCTGACCAACTGGAACAACACTGCGGCGTTGAGGCAAGGTCTGAAGACAGCTTATATAGTGGATCCTCTGATGATCTAGATGAGCTGCAGCTGTGCAGGAGGCTCCTTCAGAGGATCCACGGCGGACTCTGCTGGAGAAAGATGGGATTTTCTCCAGCTCCCAACAGTACCCCCCCTCAACGACCGCCCCTTGGCGGTCCGGAAGAGGTAGATGGGCAGGAACGCTCGTACTCCTCGATGAGCGCAGGGTCGAGGATGTACGAGCCATGGACCCACTGACGATCCTCCGGTCCGTAGCCCTCCCAGTCGACGAGGTACTGCCATCCGCGACCTCGTCGACGGGAGTCTACAATGCGGCGCACTGTGAAGGCCGGATGGTCATCGACCTCCAGGGCGGGTGGTGGGGAGTCGGACGGTGGGCACAGAGGACTCGAGGAAACAGGCTTGATCTGGGAGACGTGGAAAGTAGGGTGGATTTGGAGGGACTGGGGAAGTTGGAGACGGACAGCTGAAGGGTTGATGACTCGAGAGATTTTGAAGGGTCCTATGAATCTCGGGGAGACGAGTGGAGAGCCACACCTCCTGGCCCACAGAATACTCAGGGGCGGGACGTCTCTTGGCGTCGGCGAAACGTTTGACTGACTCGGATGACTGGTTGAGTGTGGCGATGGTCTCCCTCCAAATCCTTTGGCAGCGACGGATGTGTTGGTTAACGGACAGCACCGATATCTCTCTCTCATCTG